AAAAAGGTGATTAAATCATTTTTTGCCAGAAGTTCATTTATAAATAGTCCGAGTGCACAGTTACCTCGAGTGTACAATTTTTTTTATAATTCAATTTAATGTTCTATTTCTGTTTGAGTAAACTACTGAAAAAAATATATTTGTGGACTGATGCAAGGGTCTAAAAAAAATTTAAAATTGTAAATTGAATATAAAAAATTAATTAATTTCAAACATCAAATTAAAAGTCCATAATTATCGTAAAACATTTTTTTTTTTTAAATGTACTCTACAAAATATTAAATATTTAGCTTTGTTTCTTATTACTTTTATTAACTGTTTTTATTTCTAGTTTAAAAATATTTAAATAACATAATATAAGCCCATTATTTCTTGATTATGGGTTCCAAATTTCTAGTGCCTAAACATAAAAATATAAATCCTCCTCTTATTATAGTGTTACTTTTACTCTATAATCTAATTTAAGAATAATTTGTATTTTTAAACTTTATTTTAGCTATGCTCAAAATGTTTCATAAGTTGTGTGAATCATAAAAAAATTCAGATTCAAAATGGATAATGGTGAATTTATTTTACCTAGTGATTCCTTATCATATGACTCACCTGTTGCTATTGAATTGTTTGATAAAGATAAGAAGAAAGATGATAAATCTGACATTTATTTGGATATTCCAAAAATGCTCTGAAGTTCTACCATCAATGATATAAAGACTTTCTCTGATTTAGCATTTGAACATTACCTTAAGAAAAATGCTAAAAAAATTTTATTATAAAAATATCATACAAAAGGATTGATACAGGATTGTACAACTAGAGAAAAATATATAGACTGATTATGTAGAAATGAAATTGGAATTGATGGCAAATTCCTTGTTTGACCCATTTACACCAAATATATCTGCATGTAAAGAATTTAGACCAATAACATGTGTCAATACTTTAAATAATCAAGTACCTCCACTGTTAAACTATGTGACTACTAGGTAAGCAATGTTCTTTGTGTAAATATGATTGCATAGACAAATGTCAAAATAAATCAAAATGTGCTTGTTTCCAGAAGACTATTGAAAGATAAAAAATTATACCTGCTATTTCCAATGTCCCAAATATTGGATATAACTATATGTGCTTGGAAGAGTGCATTCAAATTTGAATTTTGAATGCAACAAAACATGTAAGTGTAACAATATGTGTTTGAATTGGATAGTGCAGAAACACATCTCTTAAAGTTACAACTGTTCATGACAAAAAATAAAGGAAGGGGTGTATGTTGATTAAATGATATACCTCAAGGAATTTCCATTTGTACATATGTTGGTTTAGTGTTAGTTGAAATTGATGCCATTGAATTAGGTAACAAATATAATATATATATGAATACTTAGCCGATTTAAAATATATTGAAATTATAGAAAAAACCAAAAAGGATTATAAACATCAAGTACTCCCAGAAGGTTTTTGGTTAACAGGCAGCAGTAGTAGTAGAATTAATAATAAAATTGATGGTGTCATGACTTCTGAATCTCCCAATGAAGAATCTCAAGGTACATTTAAAATTAAATTTATGCTATTTATGTTGTTATTAAAGTTTAAACTCAAACAAATTTGAAGAGGAGTATTTTTTTGAGAGTAACTATTGTGGGTTTTCTAAAATATTGTCAAAAAGTTATAACTATTTAAAAAGGCTATCTAAGTTTGGCTGTTTTTTAAACAATATTTTGGAAAAAAAACCACATGATGCCCTTGATCCTCTTTAAAGTTTATTTATTCTTGTTTGAATTCTAAGAAATATAATATCACTATATTGCCTCATTAGTTGGACTGAGACAGTAAATGAGAATATTATAAATTATTTTTGTGGTTTTAATATTTAGCATATGCAGTCCAGTTAAGAACATGTTACATAAACTTTCATATTAGATACCTATAAACATTGATTTTAGAATTATTATTGCCTAATTCATGGTGTAGAGATATTTAGTGATTAAAACTATAGTTATATGGGTTACCCATGAGATAGCACAATAATATTGAACAAATTATTTTTTTTTTTTAAATATTAATTATTTACCAAATCGATAGATGTTGAATAATATATGGTACCTGGAAGCCAATTATATATAACTGATTATTTATATTTGAAAAAATTGTTTCATTATTTTTGATTTTGTGGTTTAAGTTATTTATATTTATTTCATATTTTTTAAGTTTTTATTTGGTTTAATATGTCAATCATAAGTTGTATTTGAAGAAAAAAACCAGTATTGGTATTATATATTTTCTATGTTACATGTATAATATCCCACATATAAAACATTTAGGAAATTTTTTTTTTAGTTTATTGTAGTAGTGATAATGCTGTACATTTTAAATTTTAATAATAATTTTAACTTATAATTCAATAAAACAAATTAATAAATCACATCAATTTGGTGAATTTTCTTAAATGTAAAATAAAATAAAACCAAAATTCATTTCTATTTTGTTATTTTAAATATTGTTGTAGTTACTAGTTATTATTAAAGAATAAAGATGAACTTAGTAATTAATATAACAAATTATCACATATATCTTAGGTAATTAATATAAGATATTATAAATTATGATTAAATTCAATTGACAATTATTATTTCATCTGATAATTTCTGTTCAGTAGCAGCCAAAAAAAAAAAAAAACAAAGAAATTGTATACAGTATAAAATGTATACAAATAATAGTTTTATACTGTACGTTTTATATGTTTTATACATAGGTATATTTAATAAGTGTTATATAATTTACTGTATTATATGTTCCAGTACAGAAAAAACAGTTGAGCGTAATGTGTGTTACGAAAATCACAGTTAAATATCACAGTTTTATCATATGTTCATAAGTCATTATATGTTTCACTAAATTTCAATCAGAATAATATTTTGTCAGCAATGATTTATCTTTGTGTACAGTTATAAATTTAAAAAACTACTCATTTATTCTACCTTCTTAACTTCAACAACAGTAGTACCTATGAGCTTTATCAGCTTTAAAAAAAAAAAATGTAATTCAGTTTTTAATTATTATGTTTGTTACATGACTTTTTTTTTATATATATATATATAGAAAGACCTGCAACACTAAGGATTTCATCTAGTTTGAAAAAACGTAAACAGAACAATGAGTAACCCAAGGCTAAAACTAAGAAGAGAATACATTTGAATAAACCAATGTGCAAATATTTCAGAAAATACGAAAAAATATACCTACTTAATGCAAAAAGTAATGGAAACATTAATTGATATTTTAACCATTCATGTTCTTTAAAATGTATTTGTTGATACTCATGATATAGAATTCCTGTAAGTATCCTATTTTGCATTAAATTACATAAAAGCCGGTACAGAACATGGAGTAATGGATGTGATGTAGGAAGTATTCCAGGAAAAGCAATGGAGTATCATTGTAAATCAAATCATTGCAGAGGAAGATTACTGTAAATTGAATGTATTTTTTTATAATTTTAATTAATAGTTTTAAAATTAATAATTCTTTTATTTATATAATCAAAGTATATAGTTAAACTTAGGGCCAGATATAGAGAGAAGAAGCAAAAATAATCCACAGGCATATAATTTTTCAGGGTGTATTATTTCAAGCTTTCATAAGCTCTGAATAAATGGAAAATTAATAATGATATATCAATGTTTCTAAATAGAAATTTCAATAAGTGGGTAATTTAAAAAGGCCATTTGTCGATTATAGCCTCAAATAGTGGTTCAAGATTATAACAAGTTTTAAGTCTATTCAAATGTAATCTTCATTTAGATACAGTATCACAATATTCACCAATAAAATTTCTTTCAATTTTATGATCAATTAAATGTCATTCAAGCATTGTTTTTTATGTGAAAATTTTTTTTTCTTTCTGAAGATGAAACTAGAAAGTTCCATCTGTAAACATTTGCAACTGGAATTTTTTTAGGTTTTTAGACCATTGCAATTATCATGAGTTTTGGATGACTTCAAATATTCACTTTTAGGGTTATTAGGTGAAAAGTTTAAAAGGAAAATTTATCAATAAATTATAAATATTTGGGCTAAATATATAGGTTGATTTACTACTCAAGTCATGTTCAATATCCAATTGTTATTCCACTAAATTATGTATTCGATAATAAATTATATTGTTCTTCTTGATTTAAAATAATTGCTCATAAAGAAATGATGTATGACAACCATACGTGGTATTTGGTTGCATAGTATTTGTTTTACCGTGTTCAATAATAGGTTTGCCACATTGTAAGCATTTGAATGTTTTGAATTGTATCATTGAGATTCTGTATTTGGACCTTTTTAATATCAAAATCTAATTGCAGTACGTGAAGATAATTTTTAATTAAAACAAAAAACCGGCCATTTTTTTGTTAGTCAGTTGTTTTTTTTTTTTGTTTAACTCTTCATTGAAAAGCTGCAACTTTTTATTGTCAATATTGTATTTTTTGATATTTGTTTTCTCCAGTTTTTTAAATTCCTATTAAACATACTGTATTGATTTGCAGGTAGAACATTAGTTAAAAATGTAAAATTAAGTTTTAAATGTAAATGCATCTTGTTCGCCATAAGTATTTTTTATGAGTTTTTGTAAAAATAAAAGTACCTAGAATAGCATAACACCTATATCAGCGGTTCTTAAACTTTTTATTTCGCGGACCCCTGATGAATGACATTTTTAAATCGCCACCTTATTAATTTTGTTAGGAATTACCATTGGGTTATATCAATTTCAAAAGGGTGTCTAATCCAGTTTCTATTTGTGTCTGGAACAGGAAAATAATCGCGGAAGCTTCATTGCAGATCTTCAATATGTTGTTTGATCATTATACAAACCATAGCTTTTACAGCGAGAAATATTAAATCCTCAGCTATTGTGTGAGGTTTCCTTGATTTGCCAATAAGTAAAGAAACGGCAAATGAAGCTTTAACGTCATTTTAATTACTATAACTTGTTGAAGATTTTTTAATACATTTCATATTTTTCCTTAATTCAAATTCTATATTTTTAAAAAAATCAATGGTTTTCGTAACATGTTCTTTATGTTTGGTTTCTAGATGTCTTTTTAGTTTTGATGGTTTTAGTGCCTCATTTGATAATACATCAAAACATAACACGCATTGTGGTTTTTGTTCTTCTTCAGAACCCTTACCAGTAAAACCCATCGATAAATAATTATTATCATACTTACGAAATTTTGTTAATTTAATTTTTTCATTCAATACTTGTATAATAATATAAAATATAAAATATAAAATTTTACATCTCTAACAATATCATTATTACACACACATGCTGTCCACAGCTGAAAACATTTATAGTGTCACAGATGCAATGGTGGACCCCTAGGGGCCGCAGGCCACAGTTTAAGTTTTCATTAACCTCCATTCATTAACCTCCACTATGTGCTGTAGTTTTTTACTGTCTTTATTGTATTTATTTGATTATTGCTTTTATGTATGTCTTTTTAACCCATATGGAAAATACAATTCACCCTTGTAAGAGTGAGAATTATTACATTAATACAATTTAAATTCATAAATGATTACTTAGTGTTATTTTTTGTTACTTTATTAATGATAATCCATCAAATATAATGTCCCAGAATAACATTACCAGTCTCTCATTAACCATAATGTATAATGGGATTTGCAACTGCATTTTACAGAGTAACTTACTTTTGCCACATGTGCTGTTTTGCACTGTAGGAAAATAACAATGGTGTTAAATACAACACTCGAAAATTTTATATTACCTGTCTGTTGAATATTTCATTGACATTATAATTTTATCAACACTAAGAGCTGCATTTTTTTACTGTCTCTGTTGTATTTATTTGATTATTGCTTTTATATATGTCTTTTTAACCTATATGGAAAATACATTTCACCTTTGTAAGAGGTTTTGCTTTTGCCACATGTGTTGTTTTGTACTGTAGGAAATTAAACAAGGTGTTGAATACAACACTCGAAAATTTTATATTACCTGTCTGTTGAATATTTCATTGAATCTTTCTTTTAAGTGCATTTCAATTTCGCCATATTGATACATAGTGTAGAGATATTTTTGAATTAGATAAATAGGCCATTTTTAGGTGGTCAGTCTTTTTCTTTACCATTTACCAAGTATTTTGCTTTTGCCACATGTGTTGTTTTGTACTGTAGGAAATTAAACAAGGTGTTGAATACAACACTGGAAAGTTTTGTATTATCTTTCTGTTGAATATTTCATTGACAATATAATTTTATCAACACTATGAGCTGCAGTTTCTTACTTTCTTTATTGTATTTATTTGATTATTGCTTTTATGTATGTCTTTTTAACCCATATGGAAAATACAATTCACCCTTGTAAGAGTGAGAATTATTACATTAATACAATTTAAATTCATAAATGATTGTTTAATGGTTTTTTTTTTTACTTTATTAATGATTATCCATTAAATATAATGTCTCAGAATAACATTACTGGTGTTTCATTAACCTTAAGGTACAATGGGATTTGCAACTGCATATTACAGAGTAACTTACTTTTGCCACATGTGTTGTTTTGCTCTGTAGGATATTAAACAAGGTGTTGAATACAACACTCGAAAATTTTATATTACCTGTCTGTTGAATATTTCATTGAATTTATCTTTTTAGTGCATTTAAATTTCGCCATATTGATACATATTGTAGAGATATTTTTGAATTAGATAAATAGGCCATTTTTAGGTGGTCAGTCTTAACAATGGTGTTAAATACAACACTGGAAAGTTTTGTATTATCTTTCTGTTGAATATTTCATTGACAATATAATTTTATCAACACTATGAGCTGCAGTTTCTTACTGTCTTTATTGTATTTATTTGATTATTGCTTTTATGTATGTCTTTTTAACCCATATGGAAAATACAATTCACCCTGTTAAGAGTGAGAATTATAACATTAATACAATTTAATTTCATAAATGATTACTTAGTGTTATTTTTTGTTACTTTATTAATGATTATCCATTAAATATAATGTCTCAGAATAACATTACTGGTGTTTCATTAACCATAAGGTACAATGGGATTTGCAACTGCATTTTACAGAGTAACTTACTTTTGCCACATGTGCTGTTTTGCACTGTAGGAAAATAACAATGGTGTTAAATACAACACTCGAAAATTTTATATTACCTGTCTGTTGAATATTTCATTGACATTATAATTTTATCAACACTATGCTGCAGTTTCTTACTGTCTGTTGTATTTATTTGATTATTGCTTTTATATATGTCTTTTTAACCTATATGGAAAATACATTTCACCTTTGTAAGAGGGAGGAATTAATACATTAATAAAATTTAAATTCATAAATGATTGTTTAATGGTTTTTTTTTTACTTTATTAATGATTATCCATTAAATATAATGTCTCAGAATAACATTACTGGTGTTTCATTAACCTTAAGGTACAATGGGATTTGCAACTGCATATTACAGAGTAACTTACTTTTGCCACATGTGCTGTTTTGCACTGTAGGAAAATAACAATGGTGTTAAATACAACACTAGAAAATTTTATATTACCTGTCTGTTGAATATTTCATTGAATCTATCTTTTTAGTCCATTTCATTAATACAATTTAAATTCATAAATGATTACTTAGTGTTATTTTTTGTTACTTTATTAATGATAATCCATCAAATATAATGTCCCAGAATAACATTACTGGTGTTTCATTAACCATAAGGTACAATGGGATTTGCAACTGCATTTTACAGAGTAACTTACTTTTGCCACATGTGTTGTTTTGCTCTGTAGGATATTAAACAAGGTGTTGAATACAACACTCGAAAATTTTATATTACCTGTCTGTTGAATATTTCATTGAATTTATCTTTTTAGTGCATTTAAATATCACCTTATTGATACATATTGTAGAACTATTTTCAAATTAAACAAATGTGCCACTTTCTTAATTATTTATTAGGACAATTAATTAATTCCATATTGATGCATTGGATGGAGATTATTTTGAATAAAAATAAATGAGCCATTTTATGATAGTCAATTTGTGTTTTTTTTTTAAATCTCCAATGAAGAGCTGCTTATACTTATTATAATTTTTTTTTTTTTTAGAATATTGCCTTTTACTTTGTCTTTTTTATTCATATGGATAAAACCTTTTACTTTTGTATGCGAAAAATAATTAGATAAATGAAATTCAATTTAAATATTAAATGGATTGTGCTTTTTTTATGTTTTTTTATTAATTTTTTTAAAATACTATGTCCTTAAATAATATATTAAGTATACTTTAGTTTTTTTCTTCATGTTACTTTTTTTTTTGATTTCAATTGTTATTTACTTTTTAAATTTAGTTTAAAGTTATTTTTATATATTTTTTTTCTTTTAATTTTAATTTTATTTGTGGTATTCCGTAATAATCATAATGTTTTATTCCTTTTATTATGTATAAATAAATAAATAATTAACTCTTTTTTGATAGTTATTTATAATTATACCTTTATTTAAAAATATTTTATAATGTTCTTCAATTAGTATTGTTTATGAAACCTTCTTTTCTCTAAATTGAAATTGCGTATCTATTTTGAAAATCAAATGAAAAGATTAGTTTATAGATTTTTTCTGAATAATTAAATGTATCGGTTTACTTATAATTATATAGATATCCATAAATTGAAAGGTTTGCTGGAATTTTGTGCTACATACCAATTCTTAATTTTTACAGGATCAAGTAAAAACAAAATATCTTGTATTATTTCTTTTTAATATTATTTGGACATTATGTTGCACGTTCCTTTAACTTTAAACATGTTGTATGTATGTCTTATACATTTTTAAGAATAACAAAAAAAATTTTAATTTACTTATATTAAAAAAAAAATATTTTATGATTGTTTTAAAAAATTATAATACTATACATGCACATGTTAAACTAAAAAATCTAAAATGAGTAATAAAAATTAATTTTTAGATGTTGGGTAATCAATTTATTAACATTTTTTTTTAGCAGTGGCAATTCTGTATTAAGATCTAGAAATTCGTTGGTACAAACCTGTGTAAATTTGAGAAATTTTTTTGAATAATCGATGTTAAAATTAACGGTTTAAATTTGTCTACACCATCATTTGCCTATGGTGGAAAATATTTACACCGGTTTTATCCCCCGAAATAATAAAACAGATAAATGATAATAATAATAATTTAATTGATAACAATTACTAGAAATCGTTTGATTATACCGGTATAAATTTCTCGGCACTATTTTGGTAGGCAGTTAATCAATAACAGACCACTTGAGACCTTCGTCTAGGGTTAATAATGTAACCGATGTTTCAATCGCTATGACTATTAACGCTACGTCTAGCTCAGAAGACGCAAAAAACATCCTCATCGCCGCTAACCTCAGGCGTGCAAATTCCGCGACGCTAAACGAGGATAAACTCCTTGAGGTACTTGATGGATTAATATATGTTTTAAATAAAACACCAAGAATGTCCACAAGGAAATCAAGGACGCAAGAAGGAACTTGACTGTTATCTCCGCCCAACTTAAGAGGGTCAGATTCTCTTGTTAACAGGATTACCAGGGGGGGGGGGAAAGGTACTCTTGACGATGTCGCAATGAGACTTTTTACAATAAAGAAACGTAACGATAAATATCATGAAAAACAGCAGCGCCAGCTGACTTAAATGAAAGCAGCAATTGATGCCTGCTCCCTCCAAACACACTGCCTTCAGCCATAACCAAGCCGAAGAAGTCCTATCTGTTCTTGGGGGACTGAGGAAAGGAATGCAAGAGCAGCGTAATTTGTGCACTGACATTTCCTCACATGCTTGATTCCGATTCCTGTACCACACAGAAGAAGGCTATTCTGGATATGGCCAACGCCAAGCTATCCAAATGATCCATTTTTTACAGATCAATAGCCAAAGGAGCGCCACTGCTCAAAACTTACTTCAGTAAACCATAGCTCAAAGGAGATCCATATCATACTGGTTTCCAAACAAAATTGGTTCTTAGTCTAATCCGGTTCTTAGCGACAATTGGATCTGCAGTAGTGATCGTACTTAGGCAATGGTGTTATCCCCCACGGCTGAACTCGCTATCGAGGACTACGGTGCCGTACGAGGTTTCGTCTGGATTCTAACACGGGAGTTACGAATATATATTTGCTACAATTCGAGAAATGATTCTGATGTAAACTATGCCGCGTTTCTCACTGACATCGAGACTTCAGTGAGATCAGCCAACCCACATACTCAACTTATCATAGGGGGCGACTTGAACGCCTGGTCTCAGGAGTGGGGCTTGGCTTCAAATGGCTACAAAAGGGACCAGCTCGCTTATTGGGCGTCTAGCCTGGACTTTCTTATTGGCAACTCTGGGCAGGCTCCCATTAATCAGAGAGTTAATGTGGGTTCGGTCATAGATGTCACCTTCTATCGAATCTATCCACCTATTACACTTTGTGGTTGAAAGGTCTTGGAGGATGTTGAATCGGCTAATGACCATTCCTACATTGAGTATCATGTTTCGTCCGCGGCTGATGAAAATTCTCGGCGTCTTGTTCGAGGCTGATCCACTCAACGGATTAATCATGAGGCACTCTTCAGGAGTAGGATGAAAAGGAGGCTTCAAAGTCAGATGCAGGTGCAGGTGCCAGGTGTCCAGGTGCTATACTTAATATATAACTGCCCATACATGTGCAAGATGCTTTGCATGTGCTATACCTAATACATGGTCGTCCATCCAGGAGCCCAGGAGCTATATCTAATACATGGCAGCCCGAAATGTTCACCTCTTCATCGACCATATAGACCACGCCCACTTTCTTATCAGCCATTATATATTATTAGTTCTTATCTCTTATCAACGATATAATTACCAAGTTCTTATCAGCGACATTAATACCAAGTTCTTATCTAACCTATGCCAGGTGCTATACTTTAACATGACTGCCCGAATTATCCACCTCTTGATCGACATATATTTTTCCCCCACCACCTTTTTTCAAATTTTTTTTTTTCCTATACGCATCACTTACTCGATCTACGGTAAATCGACTACGCCCTCTTTAACCAAATATTTTCTCGAGGTATTATCAGCTACTTACTCGATTTAACTAAATCCTTATCATATACCTATGATTATTATTTTATAAGTATTATGATATTTTTCGTCTCCGCGCGCGTGTGCTCACTTTACCCCGCCTGCAAACACTCCTACCGAATACATCTTAAGAGTATATATTTTAATAGATTATTATTTTTTTCCCAACATTATTATTCTATAATATATATTCTGTAATCACGTTAATATACATTATTACATAACATACCAATAGTAATCATTATTATAAATAATAGTATTATTAACGAGCTCGCGCTCGCCTTACCCCACTGACACTATCCATACCCACTGATAAATATTACCTATACAACAAAATATTATTATGTATATTATTACAAAAACGAAATTGTTATTAGCAACGTTGATGGTCTGTACATTCCTGGGAGCTAATGTTTCTACGACCGCCGACCACCGCATATTGTTTTTCTCGGAATGTCAGTGACTGCCGAAACAAATGTCGTTATATGATTGTGTCTCGGCGCACGTTACCATACCCATCGTATAACCTAAACCACCCTGCACTATCCTGTACACCATCTTCGACTAAATTGTAATTATAAGTACCTGTACAAAAATATTATTTTGTTCATAGGTATTACATAATCATAATCGTCTTTTAACATAGATTTTTGTCAACGACTATATAATTATTATAACTATGCATCAACTAACAGGTTAACCACACGATCGTTAATTACACACACACACACATATACACCATTAAATATCATCGATAACAATTTATACATACGATAGTTTACAATCGTTCATGAAAACTCATTGGGGAACACTGTATAACAATCGATAGTTAACAATCGAGAATTTCGATTATTACTTACTTTTGATAATCGATCGTTATTCATGATGACAAGGACGGAACGATTGATCATCAGTAGTGATTTTACTACCCACCAGTGACCAAGTATCTCTCAGTTTTCTCTCGCGACCACCATTTTTTAAAATTTTATTATTTTTTGTAACAAGTTATCACTTGTTATTTTAATTCGTTCATTTGTATATCATTTTTAAAAATGAATACATTCGAGTGTACCTTCGCCGACTTCGATAAAGTGTTTTCTGCTGAGTGCAGTATGACCCGCCATGCTAAATTAAACGACAGTGTAAAATTCAATGCGCTCCTGTGTATCGCTTCTATGTGTCCTAAATCGTTTACGCGTAAAGGCAACCACGATACTCATGTTAAAATGGAGGAAGGGTTGCTTTGCCAGCTATTGTTCCCGACATTCAAGCAGGACCGTCAAATGCCGTCGCCAGACCATCGACCTCGACCGTGCTATGGACTATCAACGAGGAAAATGACGAACTGTTTATGGAAATCGATTTGGATATTTGCGACAACGAATGTAAGATTTCTTTTATTATATCATACCACATAAGGAATAGCGAGGGAATTAGATAGAATTAGGTAGAAAATGCATACTCAAAGAAGAAACCACCGCTAAAGTGAAGAAAGCACGGATGGATATAGTAAACACCCCGGGATTTATCGAAATCGAATCGTCTTTCTCACGAAAAATTGTATGGTATCAAAAATCTCGATAATTTCTTTAACTACAGACAATTCTTCTGTTCAATCTAACCCGTAGTTATAGACCTCCTGAAATCTATAGTTGTATTAAATCCAATCAAATTCAATCTGAAACTGGAAGCCACATATTAAAAACCACAAGTAGACAATTTTGTCGTCAATAGAGCGTTCAAGACAGGCCGATTTTCCCTGATAGCGATATAGAAGACATATTAAAACAAAAATTAACGAAAGTACTTTTCGAAGAGGATATTTATCAGGGACGAGGAAGTGAGTTTTTCTTACAGACGATAGACGGCCTTTTATTAGGAGTTTATAAATTTCAATCTATGGGTGGTATTTCGTATATCCCGCTACCCAAAAATATAACAAATAAAAAAGCCGTTATCAACTCGTATAATAACTTACTTCTTCGCGGATGAAGAGTGTTTTAAGTGGGTAATTTTGCAAAACACGTAACGGGGGTTCATGATTATCGTATCAATCACAATTATACGAAACACGAAACGAAGTACAATTTTAGTGGATTGACGTACCCAACCCCGCTCATGAACATTAAAAAATTTTAAAAAAATAATTCAAATGCGTCCGTAAATGTTTACGGACTGAAGAAGAAAAACTAAAAAACGGTACTATTCGATTACTATTATTAAAAATTCGATATACCTACCGAGCCGATTTTATACAGAGAAACACAAAACGAATCGGATGTGGAGAAAAACATTTTGTAGAGCAGATAGTTGATATCAGTAAGAAAGTGGAGAATTTATTGGAGACGAATAAACCAGTGAAGATTGACAGACATGTAGCGAGCGAAAATTGTAATTTGTCACTGTGGATTTTTTACCGCGAATCCGAAGGTCGAAGACCATAACCACCTATCCGGTAGATATTGGCAGGTGTTATGCAATACTTGTAATCTAAAATTACAAGTAACGAAATTTGTCCTCTACTTCTTCCATAATTTATCGAACTACGACTTGCATTTTATCGTCACGAAGTTGGGTTATGACGCGCAAACAATTTCCGTCTCACAGAACAGCGAGGAGAAATTTGCATAGTTTTCGAAGTACGTGAGTAACACCATCACTATACGATTTATCAATACATTTAGATTTATGGCGTCAAGTCTCGTTTCTCTCGCGTCCTATCTAAACACAGTCGAATTCGAGAAGTTTCATGAGACGAAAAAAATATTTAAAACAGATGATATGCCCTTGGTGACGAAGAAGGACGTATACCCATATACACATATACACATATATACAAGTATACGGAGAGTTGGGACAAGTTGGAAGAAGATACATTACCGGAGAAGGAAGACTTTTACAGTACGTTGACTGAGGAGAATGTCAAGGACGATGAGTACGAGCACGCGAAAATAGTTTGGAGACATTTTGGATGTAAGACGTCGAGTGAGTACAGCAAATTATACTTGAAAATCGACATCATGTTGCTGACGGACGTCTTCGAGAACATAAGAGATATTTGTATGACGACCTACAACCTCGACCCGGCATTTTATTACACGAAACCCGGATTCAGTTTCGATTGTATGTTAAAATATACGAAGATTAACTTGGAACTTCTATCGGACTATGATATGCTACTGAAGTTTGAAAGAGGTAAACAATTTTATATTATTTTATATAGCAATTATATATTAATCGAACATTTTTACTTTTTCAGGGATACGTGGCGGATTGGTGCAAGCTAGTATGTGGTACGCAAAAGCGGACAACGACACCACAAAAGAAGATTCATGGATTATATATCATGATTTTAAGTACACATATTATTTTAAAATATATTAGTTACATACTTATAATTTTTTGTATATTTCTAGTAACAATTTATACGGGTGGACGATGTCATAGTACGTGCCCCACGGTGGCTTCCAGTGAGTAGGATTATGCAGTTCAATCAGTTACCGTGGTTGAAGAAGTATATTAACTTGAATACCGAGATGAGGAAGAAGGCAACTAATGAATTTGAGAAGAACTTTTACAAACTGATAAACAATGCATTATTTGGTAAGTTATTATTATTATTATTAGAACTTGTATGTTATTATATTATTATAATTTTATTGGTAAGACGGTGGAATCTATGAGACGGAGGATTGACATTGAACTGGTATCGAGTGAGAAGAGAATGCAGAAACTGATAAACAAAACAACGTTTAAACACTGTACTTCTTAAAACGAAAATCTATGTGTAGTGACACTAGAGAACAAAATACACTTCTACAAACCAATTAATATAGGTAAGAACCTCATTTAAAATTATGTATTATATATTATTTAAGAAATAATTATAATGTTTGTATTCATATGTTTACAGGATTTGCTATGCTGGACATATCCAAGACCAAAATATACAACTATCATTATAATGTTATGAGGAAGCATTTCAAAGACAATATCAACTTGATGTACACTGATACAGGTAAATTGTTATTATTTTTTTTTTCTTATACATATTATATTGTTTTTCAGATCCGTTGGTGTACCATATTGCTACGAGGGACTTTTATGCTGACTTACTAACCAGACCAGGGCTTTTGTAGTGTACGGACACCGCCAACCTACCTAGAGGCCACCCGTGCTACGTCGCAGAAAGGAAGAAGATACCGGGTTTGTTCTTTGACGAATCAGACGGAAAAACAATAACCGAGTTTTGTACGCTGGAGTGGAGAAGATCAAGGCAAAAAAAAATCGAGGATATGGCATTAAAAATTATATGATGTTTTACGACTATAAGAAGTATCTGTTCGGTGATGGAGATCTGGACGTATATAAAAATAATGTGTCCATTCGATCTTTCTATCATCAATTAAAGACCATCTCTACAAATAAACTCACCTACAACAACTACGATATTCATATCAATTTCTTTTGTGATTTCAACCGGAGTAAAGTGCTTTATCATTTAGTGGTTGATACTGAGCTATGTCGAATTCAGAAACCACTTCGTTTGGTTAAAATACACGTTCTAAATGACGTGCGTACATGACCTGCTTTATCTTGTTCACGGCGTGCTCATGATCCACATTCCATTCGGATAGGTGATACATAGACTCTAGGACTCTTTATGCGTCTTGTAGCCTTCCATAATGAATTATTCGTTGCAGAAAGTTCACTTAAGTATGATTTGAACGTTTCGTTTTTTACTTTTTTAATTTTTTCATGTAAAGGTTTGCTACTGCGGTTCTAAACGGTTTTATCCGAAGTAGCTCTCGTTTGGTGCCATTTATTCTGTGCTTTCGTTTTTGTTTTACTAGCTTCCTAACTTCCATTGGGTAGGTAATTTCACGATTACCACCTGTTGGTGTTATGGATGTTGCCATGATAATATTAATGAAATTAATTTTTAAGATAGAAGAGCAAATATGAAACAATAATTACTTTCAATGCTAGTTCCACTTCTGGTAATACATAATTAACTATTTGTCTATTGAAATTTGTTCTAGCCAGTTTATACAGTTCGAACGCTATTTCGCATTTAGACATTTGGAATCCATTTTATAAGTCCCGCTTCGAGTAATTCTTTAAAAATCGATAATATCTTGTTTCCAACACCTGTATTTCCTGCAGATTGCGATGCCAACAATAATCTTAGCCTATCAAATAACTCGTTTGGATTGTTCCAATAAACTAAATTATTTTTCTGTAATTTCACTCGTAGTCCTCTACCTTAGGGAAATAATTTAGATATAATGTTTATGTATTTTCTACCGCCCTTTTTAACCTTAAATCTATCGGTTATTAAATTAGCACCTGTATGTAATTAGTATAGAATTGTACGAATCAAGATCGTATCTCGTATTTGAAATCGGTAATTTGAAAAAAATTAATTGTAAAAACCCCTCTGTCGTCTTATATTACATTTTTTCCTAAAATGATTTGATTGTAAATTTTCTCTGGACCATACGTTTTATCGAAATCGGGTGAATTAAACCAATTTTCTAGTTTAATATATTGGGATTTTTCAGCGTCAACACTGTCACGTTCTGTACTAATTTTTCCTCTTCTTCTTTAATATAATCCTCCGGTGCGGCTTGATTATAATCACTATGTTTAAGTGACGATAATGTTTGCTCTTTATGTATTATATTCAGATGTTCAATAACCGGATCTAGAGTTTTTATTACTTCTGCAGAAATATTAGCCTCCCCGCTTTTCAACGCAATAAATTTACGTTTAATATTTTCTTTTGCTTTAACTAACTCCTCTAATATACGTTGTTCATTATCCATGATTGTGTTCAAAATGATAATTATTATTAAAAATGTTGGTTTATATAGCCACATACGTATCAAAACTAAATCGGTAGCGACCGTTATCACGCTCGTTATCTTTACAAATGACGACAAATGCAAACCTATCACGGTTCCAGCACGTTACACAGACATGTTTAAATTCGTTATAATACATATCACCCGAACAGTGTTCGTCACATACGTGTTTTAAATTTGTTTCGTCTTGTTTGAATAACACTATTAAATTCGCATTGTCACGTATTAATTGTTTAGGTACTTTCAAATAACTTTGAGCTAAGTAGAATATATCAACATTATTGTGTCATCCTCGACAAGAATATTCCCTAATAACGGTTTGTTGTTCTCTGATAATATCGTTCATAATACATACAGAGTTCGGTAAAACTTTTACTGGTTTTCATTTTCGAAAAAAGTGATTATTTTAACACCATCGATCTCATTAATAATCTGTTTTAGTAGCTTATACTTTGACTGATCGAGCGTTTTTGAATATACGTATACATTTTCAAATCGTAATCCGTTTTCATTGACTATTAAAAAATACATTAAATTCGTCTTGCCACAACCAGAACTGCCTGGTACTAATGACAAAATTAAACATCTGAAATCCGCTGTTGTTAATTTGGACAAAGAAAAAGACGAAGGTACTCATTGGGTAGCATATAAAAAAATCGGTAAGAAAGTGGAATATTACCACAGTTTTGGAAATTTACCACCAACACTGGAATTGCAGAAATACTCTCACGGATTTAGTATTAAATACAATTACGGAAGAGATCAAAATTATAATTTGACAAACTGCGGACATCTGTGTTTAAAATTTTTATCATGTATACGATAACATTAAAAGAAAATTTGGCGAATTTGTCTTGCGATTTTTTCCTTCGATAGAAGTCAGTGAAAGATTTGCCTGCCAGGACTTCAAACAAACAATTCTATTCCTAATATCAACGAAAAATGTAACCATATAGGTTTTGTCATTAAAAAAAATGAAAGACGATGTAATTAATAAAATATGCAGTTCCGATGGATTCATCTGTAGAAATTAAACTATTAGACGATAAAGACGAAATAATTTATTATACGGTAACGATTCCGACGGGTTCATACGAGTTGAGTGAATTAGAGACCGTAATTAAACAATTATTATTCGACAAACCGATAAAGTTCGAATTGAAAACGAACAATACAACATTAAATTGTAGAATGAGCTCAAATGCACAAATCGATTTGACTATGTCTAATAACATAGGTGTGCTATTAAGTTTTAATAATGGATTCTATGTTATTAACCGGTTAGATACTTTGGTCAATATCACCATAGTTAATTGTATATATATCGAGTTGAACCTAGTTGTCGGTTCATTCGTCAACGGGAAGCAGCACCATATAATACACGAGTTTTATCCTAACGTACCACCGAGGTATAAAATAATAGAAATTCCTACATACTTAGTCTCTTATTCACTAAATTGTACTTCTATAAGTCATGTCAATATTGTTTTAAAAGATTAGAACGATGAATCGATCGATCTGCGTAGAGAACTAATCTCTGTACGGATATTAATTCAAGATTTCGACAAGAACATCTAAAATAGGGATTTAATTTTATAATATAAATAAAACTGCAAAGTTTGACGAAAACAGTCGAATCGAGAACGTCGCCCGAACAACACCGTTAGTAAAAACATCCAAGAAAAATAATTCAAAACAATAAACAAGAAAAATGGTGAATAGCTAAAAATGTAGCTTTTCTTCGCTACATAACACGGAATTGTATACTCAATCGTGTGAAAGTTATATTTGTATTGAAGGAACGATAACCAAACCAGCTGGTATAACCGAGGATGTTAGTTTTATAAACAACGGACTGGCATTTCTTTTCTCTGAAATGAAATACGAGGTGAACGATATTCAAATTCAAAAAATCATTAACCCCGGTATAGCTACAACATTAAAATGATATTGTTCGTATACTAAATCGGATATTACATCCCATTATAATGCAGCATGGGATAGTGATTTAAAAAATGCTAACACAAATTTTATCGAAACCGACTCGTTTAATGGATGTATAAACCTTAGAGATTTGTTTGGGATTTGCGAAGATTATAAACGTATTCTAATAAACTGTAATCAACAACTCGTGTTGAATAGAGCATCGTTGGATATAAACGCAATAAAGTTTACTAAGTCTAACATTCCTAAATTTAGTGAAATTAAAGTAAATATTATGGAGAATAGCAATGGTTAAAGTCAGCGATAAAGAAAAAATTAAGTTGATGAAAGCAATAAATAGTCAGAAACCAATCACGTGCACGTTTAGATCGTGGGAATTGTGCAAGTACCTGTTTTTACCTGTTTTTAAAAGTGAACAAAACAAACAAGTTAGAAAAACTTCGATATGTTATAATTGGATTTCAAATAGATAGAAAAAAATAGTGAAACTAAATCAATGTCATGCTTTAATAATTGTAGAGTAAAAAATCTAAAGGTGTATTTAAACTCTGTGGTATTCCTCTAAGATTTTCAAAGTGACTTTACCAGAAATAAGATAGCTACATTATACCGGGCGTATTCTGAGTTCCAGAAATCTTACTACGAATGTAACAACCTTACACCGTTATTAACTCGTTCAGAGTTTAAGACATATACACCAATCATTGTTATTGACATGAGTTGACAGATGATAATGTGAAAACATCGACTGTAGACTTTCGAGTTTGATGCAGATGAGGCATATTTATCCAGCACTCTGCTAATTGAGTAGTTGCACACACCTTATTTAAGTGGCATAGTTGACGTCTTGTTTCAGCATGCTCGCTATGATTTTTTAATCTTGAAGACTTTTTATGATCATTTGTATTCCGCTTATAACTGATGGTGGTGTTCTCATTTTGGTAATTTCTTCATTTATATAAAAACTAACCCAGTTGAATTGTTTTAATACTGTTGGTAAACTGATTATTGTTTTCCGTGCGTTCGTCTCGAAAATGCACCATTCCAAATTTTGAAATGCGAATAAATCCTGTCTATTTAATAGAACGCAGCAGCCGGTCACGGTTTTTGATTTTATTACCAGAACGTTTTCTTTTTTGTTCATACAACGCGATAACTTGAACAATGCGGTTTCTAGAAATAAGTGAAACTTATATTTCGGAGTGTCGAGTATAATTGATATGATTTCGTCCATCAGTGAAAATATATGCGTTAGAATGTCTGGTGTTATATTAACGTATCGCGACGGAGTTATTATTTGTATTTTGACGACAAACATGTCTGTCGGGTCGATGCCTATATTCAAGAATTTACATTCTGTGAAGTTTAGAGTATAGTTATTACAGTCGATAAGGTCCGCTGGTGGTGCTGAAGTAACGTATTTGTATAACTGATTCTTGTTTGTAGTTTCATTTAAAGCGGCCATAATTTAAACATTTATAAATTTTTTAACACTTTGTAAAAGTGTATAGTTAGAGAAATGAGCACTTGCTACTACGACTGTGAGACGGATAATGATTCCGATATTAATCTACTATCACTCTCACGAGTTGAAATGTATATAATTTTGGTGGGCAAAAGAGACCTGCCCTGACCAGCTTAGGCATGACTCATGGTTAAAAATCCTGTCAATGATAGCAATGGTTTAAATTATTTTCTGTGTTAAATATTATTAACGTGATACTAATATATCTAATGGCGTATGGTAAGCATTAGCATAGAATATATATATCGTCTAATAACTCTTTGTTAATCGATAATGGGGTTATGTAATAATCGATTAACACATGGGTCATAACATCTATCTGTTAACCATCTAATGATAACATATTGATAACCCGTAAGAGATTTTCTCTTTTCACGTGTCGATAATAGCTAAATACGCTATGTAATATAATACATCGTCGTGATAATGTGAAACAGTAACAACAAGTCTATTAAGCGATTTTCTCCAAAATCAACGTATATTATACGATAATATGTAATGTGTGGCTATCTAATAATGTGGAAAATAATATTTTGTTGTATAGGTAATATGGCACGGGTATAGGGTATGCGGGATAACGCGAGCGCGCGAGTGACCGCGAAATAAAGTCGTATAATCAACAACGTGTAGATGATCGGGGCAGAGGTGAACATTAGGATTAGTAGATTATACTATTTTTTGTACCGACAGCCACTGATATTCCGAGAAAACAATATGCGCTGGCCGGGGATTACCTAATAGGCGAACGGGGAAACATTAGTTCGCAGGAATGTACAGACTATCAACGTTGCTAATAGCCATTTCGTTTTTGTAATAATTATACATAATAATATTTTGTTTTATAGGTAATATTTAGCAGTAGTTATGAATAAAGTGTCGGCGGGTATGATGGGGTAACGCGAGCGCGCGAAGACTTAAAATATCGTAATACTTATAAAATAATAATCATAGGTATATGATAACGATGTATGTAATAACAGTATGTATATGATAATGTCTCTTGGATAAAAAAATATTTTGAAAAAGGGGGGTGGGGGAAAATATATTTCAATGAAGAGGTGGTCAATTCGGGCAGCCATATTAAAGTATAGATCCTGGTATAGGTAGGATAACAACGTCTTAATAACACGGATAAGAACTTGGTAATGATATCGTTGATAAGAGAAAATAACTGATACTATAAAACAGCTAATAAGTGGGCGTGGTCTATATAGTCAATGAAGAGGTGGACAATTCAGGTGGTGAATCCTACTCCTACTCTTACTCCTACTCTTGGGGTAGAACTCCCTTTTTCTTACTACTTATGTAGAAATGATTTTGGATTCGAAATGTTCCTTCGCCTTTCTGAAATCGTCTAAAATGTTTCTCGCGATGTTTTCCATTTCCACGTCAGTCGACGACGCCAATATTATTAATTGAGACTGCTCAATCTATAAAATAAATTTAAAAAAATATAAAAAAAAATACGGACATACTTCACACACGCCATTGCTATAGGTGAGTAGTTGGGAAGGTGCGATATAGAGGGGAATTTAATTTATATCTGAACGCAACGACAAATCATTGCTAAGGAAAAACGATTCGGATCGAAGTTTCTGTTAAACATGTATATACATTTTCTCATTTTTCCTACGTTTTATCCAAATTATTATGAAAACCGCTCTAAAAAGTACCACCCAGGTAAATTTTCTTTTAAAAAAGATATTACATTACAAAATTTGAGCAAGACTTCTAGTAGAAAAGTTGTTCTCAAAAAATGAATAAGAATAATCAACATTGTAAAACCAATATATTCCTCGTTATGCTCTAATTCTAAAATATATCACTGTTTTATTAAACATATTATCACATAAACGAAATTAAATTACATATAAACACGAATGATTGTTTTTAATTGTAAACTACGAATAGAAAAATTCATGACTGCGATGACAAAAAAAAAATATAATGAATATATAGCATATATCAATAGCATTACATATGGAAAAGTTAACAAACAGTATAACTTAATAGCAAAGATATTAAAAATAAATAAATAAGATGGGAAAATCTATTTTACAACCTGGCAAAGTTCCGGGTTTCTAAACGTATTATAAACAGTTAACAATAATTCTGTATGTAATTGTGTACAGAAATCTAAATATATTAAACATTTTAATTTGTAAATAATTGACAGAATATTTTTTTAAATTTTTTAAGTACTATTTTTTTTATTTATTTATTTATTTTTTTTTTTTTGTAACATTGGCTAGTATGAATTTATGCGTAATAATCATATTATTTAAATTAATAATAAGAATAATGATATTCCGATTATTATATTTATCGGTGCATCCGATTTGGGTCCCGCGTTCAAAAATATACTTTAGTTGGGCTATGGTTAATACGGGTACTATATTAACTGGGTCCCCGGGTTTTCACGAGAATTATACTAATTGGGTCCCGATTTCCACAGATTGTATATTAGTTGAGTCTCTAGTTAATAGTGAGCAGAATAGAAGTTCTAAAAAAGACCCAAGTAGACACTTATATTAAAATGTATAGGGAAAAAACGACGGCAATGTATTTTACAAAAAAAAAAAACAATTAATAAAGGAGAAAATGACTAAATAAAAAATATTGGCAACATAAATAATTTTGAAAAAGTCAAAACGTTGTCTTATACATTTTTACTTAAGCGCATTTAGTACATTATTATTAAATAAAATAACACCTTTTTTTATATTATATTAAACTAGTATTCATTCAACCGGATGCCACCTTCTGAATATTTTCCAAAATATTAATTCATCAAGTAAATCAACATTTTTTTAATCATACTGTTTTTTTTTTTAAACTAAAAATCATTGACAGTCTTAAGTCTGTAAAAAATGAGAAGGAAAATGTTTTTCATTGGTTGTAAACATTTTTGTAAACTAGTATATAACCTACCGAAAGACGGGACCCAACTAGCATAGTACCCAAAATTCATTGGAATCCAACTAATGCACTACCTATCAAAACCACTTAGATCTGGGACCATACAGATGCAGCCATATTCGTATATTATCTCCTTGTTAACACAACGGCGATATAAATGTGTTCTAAACATCTTTTTAGAAACTTATAACTATACTTTTATTTAGCGCCCAAAAATTGGCATCAATACAATACTTACGTTATTTTTCATAATATAATAAGCATTTGAAGTACACGCATTTTTAAGGAGTGAGTAGATAAGTTTGAGTGCGAATAACGATAGCTCGGGTGTCGTACACACGTCTTTGATGTCTTCGTTCAACGCGCCGATCAATTCGGGAACTATAAACATTGTCGATAACACTGAATAAATGCTCACGTTGTACAATGCGGAGTAGGACATTCTGAAATATTTAAGTCGTGTTTTACATTACTAACGATGAAAATATCAAGTACAGCAACAATGTTCATAATTAATGGCTTATTAATACAAAACAAAAAAAAAACACTTTTCGATTGATTAGAGAAGAGGCTCAAACAGGCCCGTCGCTAGGGCACAAACAGGTTAGGCCATTGCCTTAGGGCGGAAACATATTCAATGAAACTGAGGAGTTATTTTTATGGTAGAATATTTGTTGTATTATGTTTCACAACTAATAAATTTAACAAAATCCAACAAATCATTGGTTGACAATCAATAATATATAATATTAATTTTATATAATTTTAAATTTTGCGCGAATAGTCCGCCTATATAATTTCAGCAGGTAAAGATTTCGATAACAGGTGGAAATAGCACGAAAAAGGTAATGGACGCAAAACGCACGGGCGCAAAGTGCCCTCTCCGTGTAGAGGGCCTTTGCCCTCCCCTAGGACCTAACCTATCAGGGAGGGACTCTGGGTTAGGGGAGAGCGCGTGTACTGTGTTGTAGTCTTCACTTACAGATGACACGGCGTTCTTTTTATACCTTTATATACATATTTGCAAACAATTTATATTAACACAAAATTAATTACTTGATTTTCATAATTAGAGACCGGATTTATATATTCTTAAAACCCACAAAAAAGTAATTGAAAATGATTTTTGACGTTGCAAAAATCTTTTAAAAATTTCTAAAAATGCAAAACTAATAAAAGGAGTTTAATTTAATGATAAATAATAATTTTAAAATAATTTTAAAAATATACCCATACGTAAATTCCTACATGAACAGAAATAACAATTATTACACAGAAAAACAGAAAATAATAAAATAAACGGATTTTGTTATTATTTTGTAACTAATTACATAAAGGATAATAGTAAGTTATAAAACCAAAGAATGACTTCCTCCGTAAGCAACTAGATCCAAAATGCAACAAAAAATGCGCTCTCTCCCTGGATCCACCACTATATTATATTTATTATGTTACACATTTATCATGGATTCATGTTCATTTTTAGGCTAATATAATTATTAGGACCGACCATTATTTCAAAACATTTTCTTATATTAATTATGGCATCACGGAAACAACTTTTCGGGTTTTAAATCTACAGAAATTCAACTGTTATTATTTATTATATATTAATAATGTATTAAAATTGTATACTATATATTTTCCTTTTGACAGAAGGGGCGACATTATATTTGCCGAAGGGCGAAAAATTTCTCGCAACGGGCCTGGGCCCAAATAATTACGAATTACTTTTTCAATGAGTTTCCGGACGGAGACGGCAAACGATGAACTATTTTAAGGATGATGCACATTATGGTTTTCCCGGAATTCATAGTTGAATAATATCTCCGTCCTTTTTCTGTCGTTGACAAATTCGCCACCACTCCGACTATGCCCAATATGAATCTCGTTTCATACGTGTCTACAATGGGTGTGTTTGAATATCCATAAGCATCATCGAACGTCGTCAGTACGCCAATCATGGTACGGGACAGCTTTTCTAGATCATCCTGCAAACAAGCGATAACGTTGATTTGAAAATATAAAATGTTCAAAATAATAATAATAATAAAAATATGTTAACAGTATATTATTATAGTATTTATTAAAATTGTACACTATCACATGAGCCGCTCATTCTGTATTTGCTACTGTGTGTGTATTGCACATAATTTTAGGCCCAACATGATGATAATATAATAAATGCACTATATTATATTGTCAAGTATTATTATACGATGCACAAGGTAGTAACCATAAAACTTTTAACTCTTTGAGAATGATTTCGATTTCTCCGGACAGGTTAGGTTATATTATTATTATAACAAAAAGATTATTTATGCTGGATATGTGCTCCCGTTTTAGCGCAGGGCATTAAAGTCTATGATTAATAGGTACGTTTTGAGCGGTTTTTGTTTTTATATTTGAGTTTTTTCATTTATTACTTGACGATACATCATTTTGTCGATAAACTCTTGATTCTGGGTGACTTTGAACAGATAATAAGCGAACATGAATCCAAGTTTCGAAATAAACTCCGCTTGCAACTTTAGCTGCGACCGGAATTTCGTCACTCGAATTCTCTTTCGGCCGACTATCTCTTGTTGATTGACCTGGCATTCGTGTTGCAACACCTTATATTTTTGTTTTAGTGTTTCGTTATCTGTGACTGAAAAGTTAATAAATAATATACCTATAAGTACATCGAGACAACGAAATTTAAATGTGTTTTGAATTGACGAAATAATGTAGAAATAAGGAATTTATAGTTTGTATATTTACGCGATGGGTAAATTCAAAAATGGAGGCATTTTTTAACCCGTACCTCTAATAAGCATATCATTATATTATACTTAACCTAATGCCTATTCATTTTAGTCATACCCTATATATTTCCGATTAATGTTCTTTTGATTTTATGCTTTGGCCGGCAAAAGTGTACCGTAGCCTATGGTAGAAATTCGGTAGGCAAAATATTCTTATTTTTCAGCCAGAAAATAATATGACATGAAAACGTATTACAGACGTGACACAGGACGAACACATAATTAAAAATATTACAATTCAAAACTTAAATTCAGTAGATACTTCAAATAAAATAGGTACAAAAATTATAATATTATTGCTATTAACATTTGCACTTACGACTTACCTAAACGTTTTTGATCTTCATCGTTTGTCATATTTGTCTGTATTTTATTTTAAAATTAGTACGACGTTAAAAAAAGTTAAAATGTTAAAAGTTTTACAAATTTTAAATTATTTTTATAATTTATATTGATAATAAAAAGTAAACACGTTTGAGTTTATATATTGTCGTGTAGCAACGTGTTTATATTATATATCTCAAAATACCTACCAATGATTTATTAAACTGATTAAAATAATGTACGTACGTACCTACATTAAAAATTCCATAAACAGATTAGTTAAAGTAATTTTGGAGTTAAAATTGTTGATCTCCGTCAATCCGTTGTGGATGTATTCCACTCTTAAGTTTGGATTGGGGGAGAGTAGTGGTGCATTGTTAAAACGCCGTGCACCGTGCAGCTACACTAATGATACTCCCATACTCTCCACCGACTGGTGTGAACATATACTAAAAGTCCTGAAACCCACTTCTTGTGTTATTATCTATCCGCTCCTCAAAAACATGTATTTGACCTTCCCACCATTTTACGAATAAAATGTACAGTTCTAAAATTAAGGTCGTCAGTTAAACTCTACAAATACGCCTTTTTTTTTTCTAAATATAACTCGATAACGCCAAGTATACATTTTTAACCAAATACCTTGTCATACGTAAAAATTACTTACCATAAAAATTGTACAATTATTAAACACTATATAACTGATAAGCATTATCAAGTCATTATATAGTACGTATTTTAACACATTAAAATTTTATAATTTATGAAAACAATGAAGAATATTCTGATGATTTATAAAAAGTAAAATTACAAATAATACTGCAAAGTGACCAATTACATTTTATACCTATTAACTACTATAATTTAACCAACTTTAATGCGTCCCCTAACTTTGCTCTGCATTGGCAACCGCCCATTTTTCCAACCTCTAGTTACGGCAATATATATATACTCGAGAAAGCAGCATTATAGAAGTTCCAATTAGATTGCACTATTTATAACCCTCCGGTTAAGATGGTGTCCACCCACGCAGTCTTTATATATTATTTTTGAACTAAATAAATTGTACAATGTCTATTTAATTAAAAAATGTTATTAATCTTTATCTGTTAGACAAACGACTTAAATATTACAATCGTGACGAAGTTAAAAACGATAATATTATATTATAAATATTGGCGATAGTGTTACCGAAAATTATAGGAATTCTTCCTCGGAATAGGAAAAAGTATAGATAACCCATACAATTTACAATAAAACAAGTATTTAGATAACCTCTCACATATTTATCACTAAACGAGTAGATACGAGTGGCTAGAAAAGGAACGTATTTTGGTTTAATGATACCAAAATAATAAATAGATAATAATTATTATACCCACCGATAATGCAAACTGGGTAGTACGAAATTGCTTCCCAGCAATGACGTATTTTTGGAAGGGGGGCCTCGACCCCCTCCCCCAAAAAAAAAAATTGGTTCAAAAATTATAAATGATTCTTGATATAGGGAAAGAGAACATTAATATTTTAAGTAAATTTGATTTCTACTTTTTTTAATCTTTGTATAATCGTTTAAGCTTTGTTTTAAAACCATTTTTAATTTTTATTCTTACTTAATATATTTTAAATAAGAAAATACTTTTGTTTTTCAAATAGGAACCCTCCCCCTTTATTTAACATATTCAAATAGAGTATATTTTTCTATAAATTTTAATTTGCATAACAGTAATATCAGGTTTACCGTTTATGAGTTATAACTGTTTAAAGTTTAGACTGGAGGAGTAGGGAAAAGTTATCAATTATTATTTAAAAGCGGATACACAATTTATGGAGTAGAAGGAAAAATTTTAAAATGGTTTTAAAATAAAGCTTGAACGATTGTACAAAGATTAAAAATAATATAAATCAATTTCACTTTTAAATCCAAGATAATTACTGTTTCATGATAAAAAAATCACACTTTTTTAGAAAAATTTTAAACTCCCCCCCATAAAAAACTTAAAAATATGCCCTTAGTTTCTGAATCAAATAATATTAAAAATTACTTATCCTTGTTCAACTGTTCAAATTTGTTTCTCATATGTACAAATTTATAATCTTACTATATTTTATTAGGTTTATGATTGTCTGGAGATGTAATAGGAAAGTTCTCGTATTATTATAACATATAATAATAAAGTAATGTAAATAGAATATTATATTAATAAATTGGTTGTGTTTGCCGTTTATCTCGTCAGTCAATGGCTATGAAACAAGTAAATGAAAAACCCGATGCATTTTTTGACCGTCGCTTGGAAATTATCTGTAACCTGTAGATAAGTTTTTAATAGAGTTTTTAATTGAAGACCAACTCGTAGACATTCTGTTAATAGTTCTAACAGATTTTTCATTATAAATTTTAAATTTTACGTTATATGTATAATATTATCATATTATATTAATTATTATATATATATATTAATAATTTCCGCTGGACAGTGTATGTAACATTTTCGAGAACAGAATAATGGGTCCCCATCGGCCACACCTAAAACTGTAACATAGAATTTGGAAACCCTGGACGCATACTTACGCACAAAATAAATAACTTATTTAGGAATCAATACTGTTTTCAAAATTTGAACATATGACGTTATAATTATAATTTTGTTTTTTTTATAAGCGTTATTCGTATTTTATCGTATATACTTATTTAGATAATTTTTATTTTAAACGTTATCTAAGCTATAAAACAACAAAAATACGTAGTTTATTGTATATTTATGTAGGACATTTGTTTAGGTTAATTGATAGTACAATATTATTAGAGTCTACTGTACATAAAGCCAATACTAATTTGGACGTAATCATATTGTCAATGTTTAATAAATGTATACACAGTTAGGGTTTTTAAATGTGTACACGCTTATAATGAAAATAATTAAAATTAAATACCAGGTTTTTTTTTTTAATCGTCAATATTATTAATAATAATTAAAAAGAAACCCGTTATTTATATTAATAATTGACCAATAATTGCGGAGATTTGTGTTCTTCGACGATTCAGGGTTTCTCCGGTTTTGTCTAAATCCAAAATCTCAATCAAAGCATTTTCCACGTGATTCGACTTCTGGGCAAATAATAATACGATAAGTAATTGGGGTAATAAAAACTATTAACTACATTAATGAAAATTTAAAATTTGAATAGAAAAATCGAAATTTCACTATTTTTTCCATGCTAAATTTGAATTTAACATTCTTTAAAGTCCTTATATATAGTTATTATAGTTTTATATACTTAATTTATTATAATATCGTGTTTTTTCTTTTAAATTGAAATAAATGTCGTATTTAATATCGGACGACTAAAATATGAATAAAATAAGTCTTTATGTTAAAAATAACTTAACTTTGGAGAAATAAAATGATACATTAAACATTGGCTCGTAGGTTTCAAATACGCGTATAAGAAACTTTAGATGGCATTGCAACTACGATATTTTCATATAATTATTACTTTAAACAAATAACAGATTTCTCAAACATAACCAAAATAACCGTTATTAACATTCAATAGAGAGGTTTGGCAGAAACTTCAACCTAAAATCATTACTTTCATAAATCACTATAACCGGAGTCATTATAGTATCATCCACTGTACGTGTATCTTACAACAATGGTACCAATCAGCACCATACATAATAAATACGCATACAAATATATATATTATTTAAGATTAGTAGAAAATTTGGCAATTGTACACACTCCCATTGAAAATGTATAATATAACATTATCGAGTACGCCCCTCTTCCATCAAATACACAAACGCGCGCATCGACATGTCTGTTTCCGTCCCGTAAAAATCATGTGGAACATTACAACAATTATTACCTACATTCCACGTTCAACGGGGAATATTCGTAATAATTGGAATATACAAATTCCGTATGCCAACGATAATTTAAATGAAACAAAATTCAATCAAAATATTATTATTTTTAATATTTCTCAAAGCATTTGGTTTAAACGTTTTGTTAGTTTATTAAAACTGTGTAAAATCAAGATCAATATTATGTTAGAAACATTTTTACACACGGACGAAGACGTTTTCTCTAAATATCAACGGTTAAAAATTCTTGTTATCATTGCAAAGTTGTTGGCTATTATGGAAATAATAGAGAATATTTTCCTGATTTATGTTCAACTCTAGTTAATAGTTAATATTATATAGTAATTTGTGCTTTACTATTTCTTTTATACGTTTATGAATTTGTTTAATTGTATTTAAATTGAATTTTTTCTATGGGCTATATCATAAATAATATTGGGTTGGTGTTGAACATTATGTTTATTTAATAAAACACCTTTTAGTCTATAGAATATTGAATCAAATAGAGTTTTACTAAAGAATATTATTTATTATTTATTTGTATTTCGATTGTAAATTGAATATACTTATTTATTTTGTTTAAGTAGTTCATTAAATTTTTTGCTTGTCTATTTGAATCTCCAAATAATAAGAAAGTGTCATCAACATGTCTAGTAAATGCTTTTATATGATATATATAAATAATATACGATTCATATTTTTAACACTTATAACTCTTAATTCAATTTGTTATCTATTTTCCAAGAAATTTTAAACTTAAGTTATTATGTATGTATGTTTTTTTATGATATATTTTACAAATAATTTTAATATCAAGAAATAGAAGTCAAATTTTTACTTTGAAATGTAAACACTTAATTTTTTTAAGAATCAATGAATAATCATACTAACTTAAGATGGTTGTAATAACTCAGTTCATTATTGAAATTTAAAAAAAAAAATTATAATGATCAGTTGTTGAAATAAAATAAAAAAATAATAGGACTATTGAATAGGCCACAAGGAGCTGTTTCTATTGAAAAAGTAATTTATATTGAGCATTCTCACACCACTGAGGTTAAATTTTGAAATTTATTTGCAAGTGCGTATTTAAATATGCCTTATGAAATCCTAAAAAACACAATTTAAATGTGATTTTTTGCTAAACCATTTTGCAATACCTGGAAAATCAAACACTGCATAATATCAAAACTTATAAACAACAAAAGCAATATCAGATATATAATTTTAATTATGAAATATTTATACAGATGAGTAAATTATTAATTTTTTATAATTCAGAAAATAGCATAATAGTTTAAAGTGCTAGGTTATATATAAACATAGTTAAAAAAGAACATTTAATAGTATGTACCTACTGAAAATAAATTAATTTAAACTTATAAATAACATACAATGAAAAACACAAAAAAAAAACTATATGATAAATATAAATCTTTAAAATTAACAACTATTTTTAAATAAGAAGTTTAAGTAAATAAAACTAAATAACCTATAAAGATATTTTTGTTATGGATAAGATATATCATAAATGTACAAAATATGGATCATACTACAAAAGACTAATAAAAACAGACACTTGACCAGTCTTAGAAATACAATAATTGTTGATTACCTGAAAAAAAAAATATATATTTGTAAATAATATCAATATATAATAATATTTGTGTAATTTTACATGAAAAATAAACATGAGTTTAAGAAAGACAGGACTATAAGTATTTATTTACAATTTATATTGTTTAACTTTTCTCCTTTAATTTTATTTCACACAGGTGAGGTGAGCAACTTATATATTTTCCATCCATATCTTTCTATCTATAATTATTTTCAATATCTACTCAATATGCCCACATACCTCTGCTTATAACGTCACCAGCAAATTTTTATTTGATGTACTTTTTTCCTATCTTCTATTTAAACTTACTTCACCAAGCTTCTTACTATCATTAATACCATCATTTGTGTTTCTCTAAATATGCCGCCCATACAATCACAATATTCACGTATTCGCATATTGGAATTATTGAGATCTCAATAAAATTTTAGGTACAACTGATGTCATTTATTTTAAAAAGTATATCTCATATTTATAACATCAAATGTCATTAGTTTTATCTTTTAAAACGTTTTTCATTAGGTTTTTTTTCATGAAAGGGTGCGCAAATGCACAAGATTGATATATACCATCACTACATCAGCACGATAACACTGCGCATAAAATTTAGCCGCCATCAGCGTATATCATAGAAATCCCAAATGAATTATAATACGATAACACATCTTGAAAGTTTCCATCTTGATAAGTATCGTATGATTTATGACTGCCACTTACGTAAAATACGCAGGGATTTTAATTTGATTATCCTGCTGACATATCTGTATATTTAGCGATTAAATACACAATAAAATAATTGTGTACAACTCTGAAGACAGTGCTAGGCTCTTAAAAATTAGATCCCAATATACACATACTCTGAGACTACCCTTTTATACATTTATTTCTAAATAATATATTTTAACTAGGTGATATAGCTCTTCTATACTAATAATTGTATTTCATACAAAACAAACACTGTAAAATTCGTTATAAGAATTTAAAAACGTGATTAAATTTTGTTTAATATTTTTTGTAGTTACCAAATTATTCGTCATCAGAATGATCCAATAAATTAATTTTTTTCCAAGACTGTTTTACAAGGCGATTGGATATTAGAAAATTATTGACCGTCCATCAACTATAACATTTTTTTCTGCGTTTTGTTTATTCAATTCCATAGCTTTAGAATGTTGCTGTACGATACCTCGTTCAACCTAAACAAAAATATTTAACCTAATGTTCAGAATTGTATTTTTAAATTTTTATTTGTTATTATACATATTATTAATCGAATGAAAAAGCAGTGCCCAAAACAAATAATTACCTTTTCCGGATTCATAGATTCAATTGAACTGGCCGACAGAGTTGTCGTTTTTTCAAACATAGGTCCTGAATTTCTTTTAGAAGTTATTGGATTCACAATTTCCTTAGTTGTATTATCTCGTTTTCTTTGGTGGGCTTTCAAATGACGAATTAGAATAGACCGCACTCTTGTAGTAAAATTTAGACACAGTGAACATGCCATAAAACTTGGGAAATAATCCGTCATTGGGATATTATCAATAGTATCGGGAGAAAATGATATCATATTTTTATTTTCAACAATATTTTGTAATTTCGCGAAATCCTGTGGGTCAAAAATTTGCTAATTTTGTTATCAGAATAATATAAATGATTAACATATAATATAAACAATAATATACATAAAATCTAAACGATAGTAAATATAATAGAAATTACTTTAAAATTATATTTATTTTAAAAAAACTGTTCTACATTAATATGGTCGGTTGTAGTCACTGGTATATGTTATTTAATGCATACTTTTAAATTATAATAAAACATTGGTAACGAAAAACGATTCTGATTAGAATACAGATTAAACAATGCTTTGTCGACGATAAATAAGCAATATTATGGAAAATAATATATTAGGCATAAAATATAATTTTAATAATATTTGTTTCATGTTCCAACTTTTTTGTTTTCCCAACATTTTCCCTTGATTTTCCATGTTATATCTAGGATTGCCACACTTACAAGTAAGGCTTTTGAGAAATCTTAAAATGGCTTCTCANACTGTTTTCCCCGTCGATTTATTTTTAAAAGTCATTGAACTTCCATCAACTATAACATTTTTTTCTGCGTTTTGTTTATTCAATTCTATAGCTTTAGAATGTTGCTGTACGATACCTCGTTCAACCTAAACAAAAATATTTAACCTAATGTTCAGAATTGTATTTTTAAATTTTTATTTGTTATTATACATATTATTAATCGAATGAAAAAGCAGTGCCCAAAACAAATAATTACCTTTTCCGGATTCATAAACTCAATTGAACTGGCCGACAGACTTATCGTTTTTTCAATCATAGGTCCTGAATTTCTTTTAGAAGTTACTGGATTCACAGTTTCCTTAGATGTATTATCTCGTTTTCTTTGGTGGGCTTTCAAATGACGAATTAAAATAGACCGCACTCTTGTAGTAAAATTTGGACACAGTGAACATGCCATAAATCTTGGAAAATAATCCGTCATTGGGATATTATCAATAGTATCGGGAGAAAATGATATCATATTTTTATTTTCAGCAATATTTTGTAATTTCGCGAAATCCTGTGGGTCAAAAATTTGCTAATTTTGTTATCAGAATAATATAAATGATTAACTTATATACATAATATCTAAACGATACTAAATATGATAGAAATTACTTTAGAATTATATTTATTTAAAAACAAACTATCTTCTACATTTATATGGTCGGTTGTAGTCACTGGTATATGTTATTTAATGCATACTTTTAAACTATAATAAAACATTGGTAACGAAAAACGATTCTGATTAGAATACAGATTAAACAATGCTTTGTCGACGATAGATAAGTAATATTATGGAAAATAATATATTAGGCATAAAATATAATTTTAATAATATTTGTTTCATGTTCCAACTTTTTTGTTTTCCCAACATTTTCCCTTGATTTTCCATGTTATATCTAGGATTGTCACACTTACAAGTAAGGCTTCTGAGAAATCTTAAAATGGTCTCTCAAAAGTACCTCAGTGTAAATTGTTTTTAGAAAAATTGATATTATTATAAACTGTAGCGAAATTAATGATGGAAAAGTTGTCTAGATGAAATATAAATGCCGTAATATTTTTAAAGGAAAACTTACTGTTTTACCCGTCGATTTGTTTTTAAAAGTCATTGAACGTCCATCAACTATAATATTTTCTTCTGCATTTTGTTTATTCAGTTCTATAGATAAAGGATTTGGCTCTACGATAGCTCGTTCAACCTAAAAAAAAAAATTTAGGCTCATGTTCAGTATTGTTTTTTTTTTTATTTTTCTTTATACATTTTCAAAATTAAAAGAAATATTAATGTCTAAAACAAATAATTACCTTTTCTGGATTCGTTGCTTCAAATGAACTGCCCGATAGAGTTGTCGTTTTATCAAACATAGGTCCTGATTTTGTAATAGAAGTTACTGGATTCACAATTTCCTTAGTTGTATTATCGAGTTTTCTTTGATGGGCTTTCAAATGTCGAATTAAATTAAACCTCACTTTTGTAGTAAAATTTGGGCACAGTGAACATCTTATTGGACTTGGGAAATAATCCGTCATTGGGATATTATCAATAGTATCGGGAGAAAATGATATCATNAATTTCGCGAAATCCTGTGGGTCAAAAATTTGCTAATTTTGTTATCAGAATAATAAAAATGATTAACTAATAAACATAAGATTCTAATAATAGTAAATATAATAAACAATTTTTTAGAATGATTTTTAATTTTAAAAAATTATGTCCTATAATAAAAGGGTCAGGTGTAGTAACTGGTATATGTTTTTAAATATATACTTTTAAACAATGATAAAACTTTAGTAACGAAGAACAATTCCGAGCAGAATTAAAATTAAACGATGCTTTGTCAGCAATAGATATGTCATGTTATGGAATATAATAAAAAAGGCCTAAAATATAATTTTAATAATATTTGTTTCATGTACCAAATTTCTTGTTTTCCCTACTTGTTTGCCAGATTTCTCTTGTTATATCCAGATTTTTCTCAAAATCTCAAAATCGCCGTTCTATTATACCACCTCGGTGAAAATTATTTTTAGAAAAATATCCATCATTATAATTCTGAGTGAAATTTCTGGTAGTGTGGTTATCCTAAGGAATGAAATATGCCGTAATATTTTAAAAGTAAAACTTACTGTTTTATCCGTTGACTTGTTTTTAAAAGTCATTGAACGTCCATCAACTATAATATTTTCTTCTACGTTTTGTTTATTCAGTTCTATAAATGGAGGATGTGGCTCTACAATGGCTCGTTTAACCTTAAAAAAAAAATTTATCTGAGTTATCGTTTTTTCAAACATAGGTCCTGAATTTCTTTTAGAAGTTACTGGATTCACAATTTCCTTAGTTGTATTATCTCGTTTTCTTTGGTGTGCTTTCAAATGACGAATTAGAATAGACCGCACTCTTGTAGTAAAATTTGGACACAGTGAACATGCCATAGAACTTGGGAAATAATCCGTCATTGGGATATTGTCAATAGTATCAGGAGAAAATGATATCATATTTTTATTTTCAGCAACAAATTGTAATTTCGCAGAATCCTGTGGGTCAACAATTCGCTAATTTTTTATCAGAATAATAAAAATGATTAACTAATATACACACATGTTCTACAACTGTAAATATTAAAGAAATCATTACAGATACATATTTAATTTTAATAGAGGTTAACCTAGGATCATTGGGTCATGTGCAGCTACTGTTATAAGTATTTTTTTTTTTTTTAAACCACTCTAAAGCTTTTATTGCAACGATAAAAATAAATCTTTAACAATACATTATCAAAGGTGTACATAAGTACTTGTGATGTATTTATATATATAAAAAAAAAAAATAACATGTGTGGAATCTCACTCCCAGTGAAGTGGCCCCGATCTTAGTCTAAGAGTCTTATACTAAGTCATATGGTCCTCGACGTTTAAGACGCCTAATGCCTAGAGATTTGTCTAGTAGTTGAATTGCTTCTGGATTGGTGTGTTGATCCAGTCTTTTCTCATGTTTACGGACAAACTTGGTAATCTCGTCCTGGACGAAGGTGATCATCATATCTCGGTGGATAATGTCGTTTCTGTCATACCTGTAAGCTGCGACAATGGTATAGAGAACGATGTTGTGGGGACGTTGTATAATCTTAATATTGGACTTGCTGGCACAACCCCACAGTTAAATTCCATAAGTCCATATTGGTTTAATAATCATTACGTACAAGAAGCGTTTACTTTTAAGGTCTAGTTCGGAATGTTTTCCGACTAGCCAATATAGTTGTCGCATTTTCTTCTTAATTTGCAGTTTTTTCTGTTTAACGTGGTGCTTGTTGTGCCAGTTGAGCCGAAAGTCCAGGTGCATTCCTAGATATTTTGATGAGCCACACTGTGGGATGCTCTGCTGATCTAGTAATATCGGTTTATAGAGGTTTACGCAAGGTGTAATTTACGTGCACCGATTTTTCACTGTTAATTTTAATCTTCCAACGTTTCGTCCGGTTGGAAACGTTGTTGGTGGACCTTTGAAGCCAATCAGTCGCAGTCTGCTGGTCTTCATTTGTTGTCATTATTGCCGTGTCATCAGGAAAAACATGGCTGTCATTGAATAGTTGTTGGTTGAAATGTACGCTGTGTAGAGTAAGTATAGGATTGGTCCAAGGACACTTCCCAGTGGTACACCCACCGATATTTTTTTCCAATCAGTTAATGCTTCTTCATGAATGACCCTGAATTGACGTTCAGTCAGATAAGATTCGAAAAGTGCACATCAGGTGTGTGACAGCTGTTCACCTATTTTTATAAGTAATCTTTGTGCCAAACTTTATCGAAAGCTTGTGCCACGTCAAGAAATACTCCGCATCAATACTTTTTCTCTTCAAGCGTTTTGCTTATTACGTTGGTGACACGATGGACCTGGTCAATTGTTGAGTTTTATTTCGAAATCCAAACTGATGTTCCGGTACAAGCTGTTTTTCTTCTATTAACGGTTTTAAGTGTTTTATAAGTAGTTTTTCGAATAATTTTGAGATGCTTGGAAGAAGCGAAATTGGTCTATATGAAGTTACTTGTTCTGGTGGTTTTCCAGGTTTAAGTACCATGATCACTTGGGCTCGTCTCCATTGTTTAATAACGTATTCCATACGTAGGATGGCATTGAATATGTGTGTTAGATGAATCATAGCTTTTTCAGGATTTTTGAGTTAATTTGGTCGTACCCAGGTACCTTTTTTGGCAAGTTGTGAAGTGAATTTCCGAAATAAGGGCTATGTCAATGTTTTCACTATATAAAAGGTCTTTAGGTTCTTGTCTGCGCTATACTAACCCAATGGCGTTCCATGCAATGATCCGCAGTGTACTGTTCATTTCTTTATTTTCTGCGATGTATTTTTGAACTTTGTCTGGTTTATTTCGTTTGTCTATTCGTGCTGTGATATTTGCTAGTGTCTGCGTAACATTGGTTAACGTGACTAGAATATCATTAAGAGTAATCGATTCTTCGTTTCCTTTTGGTTGAGATGTTTTTGGATCGACTTTTGAAGTGCTAGCCATCTGCGCGTATGAAACATTAGCTGTGACAGGTTTCTACTGTATTCTTTGCACAGCAGAGACTTGTTTTGGGTGTGCCCTTTCTATTGCTTTCTTGTAAGCAGAGCAACCTTTCCAGTTGGCTGTGTGATTTTCACCACAGTTGGCACATTTTGCTTTTGCCTTTTTAGATTTTGGGCAACCTTCGGTTCTGTGCCCTTCACTACATTTCACACATACAACCGATTTGTGACAGTAATTGTGTGTGTGTTCGAGCGCTTGACAATTCTTACACTGCGATACTTCTTTATTTTTAAGTGGTGATTCTATTTTTAATACCTGATGACATAGTAGTTCTTTGTTGTAAATGTCTTTATTATTCTCCAATGGTTTTAAATCTACAAAGAATAATGGTAGCCTTATGTATGTCCACTCGCTGTTTTTGTTTTTAGGATCAGATATTTTCTTGATCTGTATGTTGGTTAATTTGCTTACTTCGTGGCCTTGGTAATACAGTTCATTGGTAATTATTCCCATATCGGAATCATGATTTATACCTCGTAATACTACTCGAAATGGTTTTTCACTTTTTAATTGGTACCGATGGTATTTAACTTTATTTTCTTCTAATATTTTTATTGTACTTCTGAATTGACTTTCGCTTGTTGTTAAGATTCTCGTCTCGTTATTTGATAGGACTTTGAATTGTTGTTCGTTTCCTACCGGTTCTTCACACGTTAATAATTGTTTTAATTTATCAAATTGTTTAACACCTTTGATAGTTATTGGTGGGGGCTTATACATTTTTTTGGTATTATCATTAATCGGGTTTTTGTTGCTATTTTGTTTAACTTTTAATGTTACTTTAACACCTTTTGATACTAAAATGTTATAAATCATTACAGATATAAATTTAATTTTAATAAAGGTTAACCTAGGATCATTGGGTCGTGTGCAGCTACTGTTATAAGTAATTTAATGAAAAAATCTAAACCGTTATATTGTTAACTAATACCTATATTTCTTACATTTTTTTTTAGATGATTTTGATCATCATCAAGTATATTAATTTGATTGTAATTAACTAGTTCTAACGAGTTACTCCTCTCCATCATTTTTTCATTAGCCGGAATTTGTATAACAATTGCTGGAGACGATTGTGTATTTTCCACAATATTGGCACTATTTTTTGATTTTGTAATTGCATAATTTGATTGTTTTATTTGAGTTCTTTCGGTAAGATTTTCAGATAAAGAACTCATGCCAGACGGAAAATTCACTATTTTTAACAGATCATTGTGTATAAGTGCTTCTGTTCTTATAATGTTTAGATTTCCAACCTTTGAAGAATCCTATAACAGTTATGATAAATAATAACATATAAGTATAAATTATAATAAATTTAATTAGTCATACACAACAGCCGGACTTCACAGAACGCTCCAAACATAATGAGTCATATTCAAAATGTTCCATGGCTAAATGAGAGATCATTGAATTCATAGTTTCAGTACCAAATAAGCAGAAAATACATTGGTACGTGTTTAAATGGTGGTCTTTAAAGTGCTGAAAAATATAGATATTTATTAAATAAGGAAAAAGATGTATTAATTATATAATTAGCCATTTTCACTAATGTAAACTTAGGAGCATAGCTTATGTTTAATTTGATTTTATGGAAGGTTCTTGCCACAATTGGTAGGTTGTCTCATAAACTCCATTACAAATTAACCTTAAGTTGGTGAATCCTAGTTTGGTTTACAGAATTATTTAAGTCTTAAATTTTATCAAAGAATAGAATATTTAGTTTTAAAAAAACCTTTATGGATAAAAAAATATATATATTACAGTCATTAGAAAAACATATATTCAATGAATATATATTTCTAAATGGTTACACTGAAATACATTTGAGATTTACAACCTTAGAACAATGGCCATGATAAAATATTAATTTTTATATAAAATAACATAAAAACTAATTACAAAAATTGTGCATTTACTTCTATTAATAAATTTGGTTTGAATGCAATAAATTCTTTACTATTATCTTGAAAACCACAAATATGACAACAGAATTTATCACATTGTGGATGCTCCTTGTTTAAATGATATATGAAATCATTAGAGACAAAACAAGAGAAAATGCATAGCCCTAAAATTATTAAAAAAAAATATAGTATAATTATTAACAATACATAGCAACAATATTATGTAGTAATCAGAATAACTATAGTTACAAAATCATAGAAAACAAAAATGATGCATATAATAAGCTATAATATTTAATAGAAAACTATCATCAAACTAAATAAAAATTCCTAACATTAATGTACTGAATAGGCGCTTTTCTCAAATAGCCAAGCGTACATGGTTCGAAATATTTGAAATTGATAACTTATATGTCCATCCATAGGCAAACTGTCGAATGGAAATGGTTAATATTTATTATGGCTATTTACACAACACTCTTATTATTATCACGTGATAGTATCAATCGTTAAACTAGTAAATTGTGGTTCTCAGGTACAAAAAAATTTAAAAAATCTTTTTCAAAGTTATATTAGTTTACTTAAATTACAATGTTAAAAATGGCCTTAATTTGTATTATGATTATAATTCTTATTTTAGCAAAATGTACACAGGATGTATATCGAAGACTGGAAGATTATTATTTAATATTAAATTGGAAAGAAATCCCCTACCAAACAAAAACAACCCAATGGCATTACTGAAGTAAATATCCCTTCCCCCTCCCAAAAGCTCAAAGCCATATATATAGCTTGATCAAATTGAAACTGATTGGACCGAAGAAACCGAAATTTTTCCTCCAACCCAAAATTATCTCGAGGAAATACTTTCGAATACACCAAATGAAACATATAAAAGACTAATGAATGACTCATTGACATCAAAACCTCCGAACTCCCCAAAGAATTTATTTTAATCTACCACTTAAAAATGAAAAAACTACCAAGAACCCTAAAATACAATCTCGATCAAATTCGTCAAACAGTCTAGATACAAAATTGGATGAAGGACTAAAACCAATCATTGAATATTTCACCATTAAAGGACCCCTTCCAATCAAATACCTCCAATTTAAATATACCTTGGATAATTTCAATTGTAAAGCAATGAATATTCACATGCGGATCGAAAATGCTAATACAATCATACCAGCTATAATGGACATGATTGATCAAATCCGACTCAAAATAAAAGACAGATCAATTAAAACACGAGTAACAAAGCTTTCAAATTTGCTTTTCCAAACCCAACCTCCCCAATAAAGTACAACCCAAATCCATACCGAACGCGTCTTAATAAAACATACACACTCAAAACTTTTATTATACTACTCGCACTTATTAAAAAATTAATCGTGGACTCTATTATCTAATGGAGTATAAATGGCTTACAAAAGCACAATACCGAAATCTGTGGAGCTAAAGATCTTATCCAGCCTATCGCCTTTTGTATCCAAGATACTAACTTAAGATCCTTCACTAACTTTTCCTCGAGAGGACAAAATAGATTTTTCAAAAATCGCCAAACAAACCTCCGTGCCAGCGGTGGAGCTGCTTTTTATGTCAATAATCTCATTAAAAACACGGAAATTCATATTCAATCCTCACTAGAAGTTATAGCTATCTCTATACACCTCAAAACTCCAATATGTACTCTCGACATTTACCTACCAGGCAGTACCATCCTATCACTAAATGATATCAAAGATATCATCAAACAATTACCTAAATCTTTTCTTTTTTCTCGCCGATTTTAACATTCGTAACTAAATTTGGGGATCGCATTACACGGATCAAAATGAAAAACTATGGACAAATGTATAGAAAACGAACAACTAATATTACTAAATACTAGAGAATAAACTCGTCATAATGCAACTCATAACTCCCTTTCATCTATTGACCCCACAATACCAAATAGCACATTTGCACCCAAAACCGAATGGAAAGTACTTAATGAATATAGCAACGGTGACCATTGGCCAATTTCCATAAACATTTTAGGACAAACACCTCCAATATCTCCGCTCGTCAGTTGAAATTTAAATAACCCCAGTTGGGAACTTTACCGAAATACTATACAATAAGAATTTATTGACTACCTAGTCATTCTTAAAAATGCAATTAACCAAACCGAAAGAAATTCAATGATTAACAGATTTTCTAACAAGATATTAGATGCTGCCAATCCGACTATTGGTAAAATAAATATCAAAAAGAGAACAGTCCTATGGTACAACAAGAAATGTAATATGGCAATCAGAGCCAGAAAAAAATATTTAGTTAAATTTAAAAAAAACCAAATCCATTGATGACCAAAGAGAGCTCAAAAAATTTCGCACACAATCAAAATTTATGACAAAAAAAATTAAAACTGAATCTTGGCATAAATACACAAACTCAATAAATTTAAACACATCTCCCACCGACATATGAAATAAAATTAAAGGCATTAAAGGAATTATTCACCAACTATTACCATTTGATCTAAACCATTATGGCATCACACTCTCACCCTCTAAAAATATCACCAAGGCGCAAAACGCAGCACTTTACTAAAAATAGTCGTAATTCAAACTACAAATACGAATTTTTTAAATTTCAAACACAAGGTAGAAAAAAATATCAACCGTTTAATATAATTGAACTACACAATGCATTATCTGGATGCAAAAGCAAAAGCCCAGGTCCAGATGGGATACCGTACAATTATATTCAAAATCCACCAAGGCTACCAAAACGTGAAACTCTCTTTCAAATTTGTAATATAGTATGGAAAAGGCCATATATCCGGATCAATGGTGCAATGCAATCCTTATACCGATCCCAAAACCGAACAAGAACAAATTTGACATTGTTAACTATAGGCCCATATCACTCGTTAATACACCAAGTAAAATTTTGCCGAAATCTTTCAAATCCCGATACACTTTCTTCCGTACATACTTCAAATAAAAACAATGCCAAAAACCCGAAACAACAACTAATATTAATAGCTTTAGACTTAGAAAAAGCATATGATATCATATGACGAAACAGAGTCCTCGAAATCATTCAAGAATGTTGAATGAATGATAAAATATCCATGTTCTCCAAAATTGTTTAAAAAACCGTACAACGCAAGTCACAGCTTACAATGAATTATCAAACAGTTAACTAACAGATAGGGGCAACCCCCGACGGGTTTAGTGATCAGAACAACAATGTTTCTACTAGCCATTAATAATATATTCAAAGAAGTACCAAAAACTACAAAACATTATTTGCCGATGAGTACTGTATTTATTTCTGTGGACAAAACATCAAAACCACAGTGGCAATATTACGACAAGAACCCTCCAATGTTGGTCAAAGAAAAATGTTTTCAATATCTTCACGGTAAAAAACCATTGTATATGTTTTCACACTTAAACGATATGGAACCACTAATTATTCCTCAAAGATTCTGAAATACCATTTTGAAAATCACTACGAATATTAGGAATGATCTTTTACAATCAATTAAAATGGACTCATCATCTCTTAAGCATAAAAGTTAATGTATAATAAAAATGAACATAAGACTTCTAAACATATAAAAATCCTTAAAACTGTCACAAATAAACTATGGGTCAATTATTTATAGCACAGCTAAAGGAAATCTACTTAAAATATTATAGCCTACCTATAATAGGGAAATCCGTATATCAATAGAAGCATCTAGAACCAGCCCCATCGAAAGCATTTTATTCCAGCCCGAAAAATTACCTCTCAAACTCCTAAGACAAAAATGTATACTCAACTATGACATTAAAAGGAAAAGCACTCTTAATCGTATAGAATATAACAATATTTTAAAATACCAAAATACAAATCCAACCAATATGATCATGCCGAAATGTCCACCTTGGCTTTGGAAAACCCAACACAATACAAAATTAACCATGTTCAATAAACATGAAACAAATTCGACAATTATATTTTCCAAGAAATCATTGAAAATAAATTTCCCAACTTCCTACAAATTTATACCGATGCATCCAAATCCCCACACGAAACAGGTTTTGCGATCATCAAAGAAGAAACAAAAATCCTACACAAACTCCCTCCGGAAAGTAGTATTTTCTCTGTAGAAAACTATGCCATCTTAAAAGCATTCAATTTAATTAATTTGGCAACTTCAAATAATAATATACTAAAACTAAGCGACTCTCTTAGCGCTCTCCTGGCACTCCAAAACCTCTTCTCTACCAATGAAAAAACCTAGTTCCAAACCTAATTATATTTATTTAAAAAAATAAAAATATAGAATTTATAATGGTACCATCACATATCAGCATTGCCGGCATGAGATGGCAGGCAAGTAGGCAGATAGAGCGACCAAAACAATCCCCAGATGTTGAAGCTTTTTTTTCTTTTCAATAGAAAAAAAAAAAGGTTAATAATTCATCCTTGGTATAAAATATCTTAATTATTACCAATATAAGCAAATATGTTCTGCATTTTTTATTTGTATTATGATATAAATAGTTATTAGTTTTTGTTTATTTATGTAACCTTAAAAATATTATGTATTTCCAACATGGTTATCCTAATATGATATTATATTTATTTATCAATGATATATAATATATACCAAGTATTAAAAAAAAAATTTAAATTGATAGTCTTAGTTGAATAAAAATTATACAACCAGTAATAATAACAAGACAGAAAAGTTAAAAATTCCTTGCCTTAGATAATTATATACGATTTAACAATTTTAAGAGCCGTTCTACAATGTCCTGTAGGGCTGTAAACTGTCAGTTAGCGCTAACTAGTAGGATTTAAGCAGCGAAATTATGTTTTTAGTTGTATAATTTGAACCATTTTTTGTATTTATATAACTATATGAGAATTTACCATTTGAAATGTGTATTTTCTATCTTCTCTTGAAAACCCCATTTCAACCCGATATCACTGGACAGAAATATTTCGTATTACCATTTCAATGAAACGCATTGTATATAATTATATGAATATATGTATATTTAAATGTCCACTTCAAAGAAAATTATCAACAGATTAGATAGAATTTTGCCTAACAGATAATATTTTATCGGAAACCAGACAATATTATATTAGTGAAATACTGAATTGTAAACAGGTATACAGTTTTAATCGTATTACATCTGCTGTAAACACAATAGCTTAGATGGCCGTCGAAAATTTGCGACAAGAATTATTGCAGACGTACAGTCCAATCTTCACTGCTGCGCTTAGGTATATTATAGTAAAATATATTTTGATACATTCATTGAAACAGTTTTTATTTTTTATCTGTGTAATATTTTCCCAGTTTTCCAATATTTTTCCCATTTTTGTGAAAAATCCCTGCGAAAGTCAAATAATGACCACCTTAAAGTACCATCTCAGTTGGATTTCCTTTCAGAAATAATGCCATCGTTATAAATCTGAGCAAAATTAAGAGTAAAAATGTTGTCCACAGAAATAAAAATATATAAACATTAATGTAAAACCAATTCATTCCTCATTTTACTCAAAATCTAAAATCGATTTGTTGTAATTTTTCGATTCGAGAAATATTTCGGGTCGAGAACATAAACCGTAAAAGTCTATAATGTTCATGATCAACTAGGTTCGAAATACATAAAAGATCTTAATAATTTGTATGTGTGTAAAATATGTCAAAAACGTTTTCAGAATATTTTTGAAAAATATTTTATCAAGTTTAGAGATGTCCAATAAGAGTTTTCTGATAAAATTAAATGTCTCTAAGAATATTTTAAATTGATAAAAAAAGAAATTAACAAATATAAAACCATTATATTCGTAATTTCTCTATTTATTTTTTTTCAATTTAGATTGATGTAGTTCAGTAAGAACTAAATACTAATAGTAGGCTTGAACAAACCCAGTCTAATATCATAGTACCAAACAAATTTACATTGGAACTTGATAATGATATAATGATTGCTCACAGAATATTTCCCGAGTTTCGTATATGTATTAGATGAAATATAGTAACACTAGAACCTATAGCCAATTATCAGTTCTGTAAAGTTTTAAGCCATTATGACATAAACTGAAATTACAATATTGTTTCGAACCGTGTCTGATGATTTATGAAACTTGAGTCTATTATTTTAACATAAATTATGAATAACTTTAAAGGAAAATAAAAACAGAAAAACACATGCAGACATTGTTTTTTTTAGAATAAAAATAAAGATTACTTACCAACATTGCACTTATACGGCATAACAAAATCATTATAGTCAACTGCCATTAATATTTCTTCTGAATAATCATTCTCCAGTTGTATTATATTTGAATTCTTTGTATTATGAAGTAAATTCTAAATCAAAATTATAATAATAATAATTTTAATAATACACTTATAATACATAATTAAAATTAAAATTGAAAATAATATTTACCTGATGAAACAGTACATGAAGAGGTGTATATGCACGATAAAAACAAAATGGACAAAAATATTTACAGAAAGAATAGTTTTTTAAAATATGAGTAGCCAAAGATTCTCCATCATCAAATTGTTTAAAGCAATATACACAATGTTTAAACTGTTCAGAATTATTTATTTGATTCTCTAAAACACACATCATTAACAAAGATCANCCGAGAAAACGTCTGTACATGATTTATCCATACATTTAAAAAGTGTGAATAATTTTGGTATTGTTGTCATATCATTAAGAATTTGTTGTGATCTTATTGCTTTGGCTCCAAACTCTTTGAATGTTTTTAAATAATTTTTTTGATACACTGTGTCTATTAAACAATATGTACCGTTTATGGGTACTCCTTTGTTAACTATTTGTTGATTTGAGCCTACAAGAGTAGCCCTTGAACTCGTAACTTCATACTGATATTTTATTTCATAACATTTTTTATTACCATTTGTAATACAATTTTTACTCTTATAACGTACATTAAAAAAAAAAAAACAAAAACAAATATATATTATTAATATTTCGTCTTATTGAATTAAAATATTATATACCTCTTTTAAACTTCCAACATCTTGTATCTGCAATGAAACTGGAGGAACCGAAAGAATTTTATCATTAGAAGCTTGAATACTATTTGATTGTCCAGCTAAAAAATAATAATTGCCAAATAGGATGTTAAAAAGGTACACTTGAGACTAATGAATTATTGTCTATTTTTCCCTAAACATTTCCATGTTTTCACTGTATTTTAAATACTTTTACAAAGTCACGAAAGTAACTTGGTTAAAATATGTATATATAAAAAGAACTATTGTTGATGATGTCCCTTTAGAAGATTTGAACTTCCAACCTTCGACTACTCTATAAGTATTGTAGTAAATTGGACATAGAGACAGAACCCTGCTGGTTTTTGTTTTATTCCCGATTGATTAGGCATATTAAAAATTATTCTTAAATATTGATTAATCCTTAAAGTTGTAATAATTGAATATAGTTTAATTGAACGGTATTTTATTGGAAAAACTTGTGAAAGCATTAAATAATGAATATTAAACAATTTCAAATTTATATCATTGATGTAAAGTTAAAATTAATGTATTTTAAGTACAGTTGTAGTGCTCCAGTCTACATCAATTATTACAAAACTACAATGAAAGAATTTGCAAAATTTTAAATGGTTATAGTTAAAACTTAGAAAAGAAGAAATATCACTTTTGTTTAAAATAAATTATTACTTTTCAATTTCTAATTGATACATTATTTTATTTAAAAATATGAACTGTACATATTGTTCTACAGTGTTATCCTTTTGCTAATAGTTCTGACAATATTGGTTTTTTCTTTCAATCAGGTTTTATGCCAAGAGAGTGGGGGGGAGGAGGGATTCATACATGGAGAAAAGTTAAATTTTTATTTTCGTTCATTGATTACTGAACATTTTTTTTTTTTTTTTTGTGAGTTCTTTAAAAGTGATTAAACTTTTCAAAATATTCATTTTTTAAAAGATATTATTCTTAATATTCTAATGTAACATACATTAATATCCGATCAATATTTTCTTAGTCATAGCTTAAAAAATATATAATAAATATTGACAGAGTTATTAGTATAAGGATAATACAATAGGACGAATACACATTTTTGTATGCATATAATATAGGGAAAAATAGATTATTATACAAAATTTATTTTTGATTTAATTTTTGTGATTCTAACACAAAACTCACATTCATTTTATATACAATAGACATAAATGTACAAAAAAAATCAGATTTAATATTTTTTATGATAATTTCTTTTATTTTAATTCTTCTATCACCAGTTTATGTTTTAAAAAATTTATTTTTGATTTAATTTTTGTGATTCTAACACAAAACTCACATTCATTTTATATTCAATAGACATAAATGTACAAAAAAAATCAGATTTAATATTTTTTATGATCATTTCTTTTATTTTAATTCTTCTATCACCAATTTATGTTTTAACTCACTATTCGTTCACATAAAATAAGTTAATGATTATGGTTTGGTTAGTTTCTCCATTGTTTATTTGTGTTCGTTTATGATCATAATTTTACAAAGGTTCTAATATTTTATTTTATTTAGAAAAACATAGTCATAACGTTATTCTATAAATATTATGTAATAAATATAATAACACAGTTTTAACTCACTAGCTGTTGAGGACAATTCATCACGGACTATTGGTGAAGGAATAACTCTAATTGGTCCTATTTCTTGACTATTTACTGTGGCTAAAGTTGAAGGTTTCTGTTTTTCTTGCACGTCTTGACCAATCGCTAAAAATTGAAATATTTTATAGTTTATAAAATAACATTATCATTCAATAATACATATTTAACTTTACATACATATTATTTTATGTTGGTGGTTTTTTTTTAAAACCAAATGGTGTGAAATAATATGTTCTAAAGCATCTTTTAATAAATACTGTTCATTTAAATTGTCCACTTTTTGTTTGCACATGTCACATTTTTTATCCCAAGCCATATGCTTATGATTCAAATAAATGTGTTTAAATAAATCATTTAAAACTACCGTAGAAAACGGATTATATTCACATTTCGATACTGAACATTTATATACTAATATTGAATGCATGAGTTCACAACTTAAACCAGCTACAATACATTTTTTTAAATTATATTTTAAAGTGTATTCCTTATGCTCAAACGTAGGATCATCAGTAATGGCAGTGCATTTCTCATTACAAGCTAACAAAACAATAATATCATATTTTAATTTTATAAATATAAAATCACTGGTTTGCATTTTAAATAATAAATTACTCACCTCGAATTTTATTTATCAATGAATTTATATTTAACTTTGGCAAATGTACTTCAACTTCATTGCACAAATGTATCCCTGAAGATCCTGCGTTTTTCATTGCCTGTTTATTTTTCACAACTATTGTAGAAACACCAGTNATACTATTACAAATAAGTATATAATATATAATAAAAAAGTAACTTGGTTAAAATATGTATATATAAAAAGAATTGTTATTGAAGATGTCCCTTTAGAAGATTTGAACTTCCAACCCTTGACCTCACCATCTGTAAGTATTGTTGTAAATTGGACATAGAGACAGAACCCTGGTGGCTTTTTTTTTATTCCTGATTGATTAGGCCTATGGAAAATTATTCTTAAACATTGATTAACCTTTAAATCAATGAAAGTTGTAAAAGTTGAATTTAATTCAATTGAACAGTATTTTATTGGAAAAACTTGTAAAAGTGTTAAATAATAAATATTATCAATTTCAAATTTATATCATTGATGAAAAAATAAAATTAATGTATTCTAAATACAATTGAAGAGCTCGAGTGTACATCAATTATAACAAAACTATAAAGACACAATATTTTTTTTCTAAAATACTTGCCTACTTTATCATTTAATATCACACGGTTGCAGTATCACTGTCTGTTGCAAAATGTATGTAGTTATAATTAATACTAAGAAAAGCAAAAATATCACTTTTGTTTCAAAGCAATTGTTACTTTTTTATTTACCTATATTCAATTTCTAGATGATACATTTATTTATTTAACAATAAGAACTATACAGAGTGTTCTTCAGTGTAATTTTTATGCTAATAGTTCTATCAATATTGGTTTCTTTTTTCAATCGTGTTTGCCAAGGGAGGTGGGATTAATACGTGGAGAAAAGTTAAATTTTTATTTTCGTTCCTTGATTATTAAAAATGAAAATTTCTTTTTTTATCACTTTTTAAAAGATATTATTTTTAACATTTTTATGTAACATATATTGATATCTGATCAATATTTTCTTAGTTATAGCTTAAAAATAATAAAATAAATATTGACAGAGTTATTAGTATAAGGATAATACTATAGGAAACTTCGTATAAAATTGAAAGTAACTACAGATTTCTTAATGTATTTTAAGATAATAACCCGATAAATCAAATAAATAAATAAATTTCAGAGATGCTAAATATTAATCGAATTCACATTTTTTTGGTTACAGAATTATCATTGAAACTTTAATAAACACACACAATTTAATAGAAAATAATAATAGATTATATAAAACATACAAATATAATATGTTCAATAGTTTTGGTCATTGCTTTTGAATTTTAAATAAAATAAAGCATACTTGGATCAAAGCTAGCTACCATCAATAGTCCCGACATATTAACACCTAATAATATATTTTAATATAGATTAATATAGGGGAAAAGAGATTATTATAATTTGTATCTTTTGAAGCACATTCCAATTTGTTCAACAAATTTTCGGACATTTGTTGTTTTGTTTTATCTGTATAAAAACTAAAAATACCTATTAATGCATAATATAAAAAACTTTAATTTCTAAAAAACTATATTAAAATTGATTTGATTATTCCCAAAAACAAAGTATAATTATAATAAATATCAAAAAAATCCAATATTTTACATAATGTTTAGAGAATTTAGACATTTTTAAGAATTATAAACTTTCAGAATTCAAATAGAAACATATACTTTTACCAAATATATCATTAGGAGTTATTTTAAAATATGAATGTATATTTTTCTAAAGCCGATAAACATTATTCAAAGCAAAAATATACAACTAATTATGGAAAAAGTGAAATAATTAATAGACATACAGCAAAAGGAACATTGATATTTCAAGAGAATAAGGAAGAATAATAAAGAAGTAAGGTGTTGTTAAAAGTGTCTCTGCAATAAGATAATGAAAAACTAAAACAATAATAATATCGGAAAAAGACAATGGGAAAATAACCATATTCAAGACATAGACACAAATCTTAAAATCTTGTACAAGAACAAGAATGATATACAGATAGATATAAGCCAAGAACAGCTTGGAATGGCACACTGATAATGGACAAAAGTGAAATAGTTAACAAATTAATTGAAGTAATTCAAACATTACTTGAAAAACTTGGACATTCTTGAAAAACCTGTAAAACTTCATACTTTAACAGTGAGGCCACATATAAATGAACCGACAAGGGATGAAATAGAACCAGATATAAATTATTATAAAATAGAAAATCATTTTAGTCATGTCTCAAATATTAAAATTCTTTTATTTCCTTTTAAATGTATACAAAATTTATTTTTGGTTTATTTTTTGTGATTCTAACACAGAACATACACTCATTTTATATACAATAGACATTATTGTATAAAAACATCAGATTTAATATTTTTAATGATGATTTTTTTTTTCTAGTTCTTCTATCACCAATTTATGTTTTACCTCACCATTCATTCACATACAATTAATTAATGATTGTGGTTTGGTTAGTCTCTCCATTGTTTATTTGTGTTCGTTTATGATCAAAATTGAACAAAGGTTCTAGTATTTTATTTTATTTAGAAAAACATATTCATAATATATTAATATGTAATAAATATAATAACACAATTTGAACTCACTAGCTGTTGACAACAAGTCATCACGTTCTCTTAGTGAACGAATAACTCTTATTGATCCCATTTCTTTACTTTTTACTGTGGCTATAGTTGGAGATTTCTGTCCTTTTTCCACATCTTGAACATTCGCTAAAAATTTAAATATTTTATACTTTATGAAATAATATTATCAATAATACCTATTTAACTTAACATACATATTATTTTAGGTTGGTGGATTTTTTTTAAAACCAAATGATGTGAAATGATATGTTCTAAAGCATCTTTTAATAAATACTGTTCATTTAAATTGTCCACTTTTTGTTTACACATGTCACACTTTCTATCCCAAACAATATTCTGATGATTCAAATTAATGTGTTTAAACAACTCATTTATAACTACTGTAGAAAACTGATTATATTGACATTTCAATACTGAACATTTATACACTAATACTGAATGAACGAGTTCACAACTTAAATCAGCTACAATGCATTTTTTTAAATTATATTTTAAAGTGTATTCTTTATGTTCAAACGTAGGCTCATCTGTAATGGTAGTGAATTTCTCATTGCAAGCTAATAAGACAATAATATCATATTTTAATTTTATAAATATAAAAACCCTGGTTTGCATTTTAAATAATAAATTACTCACCTCGAGTTTTATTTACTAATGAATTTATATTTAATTTTGGCAAATGTACTTCAACTTCATTGTACAAAGGTATCCCTGAAGATCCTGCGTTTTTCATTGCCTGTTTTTTTTTTGCAACTATTGTAGAAACACCAGTTTGTTGTGTTTGATTTTCGTCTTTTAAAATAACTTTATTATTTAAGATAAGAGGTAAACATCCAACCAAATTGCTATAATCCACTATGGAATTTGTGTAATCATTATCTCCAATAGACATATTAACTCGTATAATAGTCCAATAGCTATTCAACTTTTTATCTTCATTAAAATGCCGTTCTATCATATGGTTAAGTGTTCTTTGATAATCAAGTTGTATGTAATAACAAAATGGGCATAAATAACCAAAAATTGTGTTACTTCCAACTGAATTTGATTGCGATAAGTGGAAAATTCCTTCAGATTTATCATAATTAGTATGCTCTGAAATATGTTTGTCTAACTCAAGTACGTTGGGATAA